GGGGGGGGGGGTGGTCTAGGGAATTGCCAAAAACTGCAGAACAACATGCCATATTCCATTCTTGTGATTTTTGTAATGTGGGGACTTACTCTACTTTGGAACAAAATCCAATATTGTTTGTCGCTTGGAAGCATTGAAGTCACATGCACACAAACATGTATACAGGTGACCTTCTGAGGGTCAATGAAACTCTGCAATGGGACGACAGAAGAGTCTGTATGGAACTTTGTTGATAGTATATAAACAGCAATGAACTCGCACACAATTTCTAATGTTGCCATTGTATTTTATTACCACTGTTAAAGATTATTTCCAGTCCGTACTGTGCAGTCTCAGCACCCTATAAATGTTTATAAACACTGTAAATGTCACTCAATGGAATGCAAATCGATGTTATTCATTACAAACCACATACCTTATCTTTGAGGCCTTTCAAATTATTTTTCCAACAGCTTCATTGATTCTTACAGCTGTGAAGTTGTTTCATCAAGTGACATGAGAAAGAAGGAAGCATAAAGCTTTGACTGCTTCTCATCCATAATGGCGGTTGTTTTGAAACTTTGAATTTAATTCATGTCATTAGTTGCAAAATATTTACATTTTGAGATGTCTTAAATGAAACAAAACAAAAAAACGCAATGAAAATCTCAAGAGTTAGCGCAGTACGGACTGAAAATCATCTTTACGCCCTAGCTATGAGCCTGGGTGACCTGTGGTACATGACAAAAGGAAGGAGAAAGCACCAGTCTCCACCAAAGAAGTATTGCCTCTGTGTCTTTTATTAACAATGCTATGGAATCAACGATGAAACTGGGAAATCTTAAATCATTGTGTGTTTTGTCTTTTGTGTTAGGTCGAGCAAAGTCGGAGAGCCAAGTCACTGATTTGAGTATCAAGAGTAATACATCTGAACTGGGAATTGATAATCCCACTCTACAAAATGGGCATACACAAAGCGAGGCTGCTCTGTAAGAAAGTACCGTGAACTCACCCCATGATACGAAAACATTTTTATTCTTGGCCCCAAACCCTTTATTGAAAAGGGAGGAGGCATGGGGTCAACAATTTTCTCAGAAAATTAATGTAAGAACAAAAACTATTGGTAGCAGTTATTTGGATAAGTTGGACTAGATGGGGTATAGTTCAGAGAGCAAATGGGCCAGTCAGTGATTTCAATATCAATTGGAAATTATGAACATGATTATTTTCTGAATAGTACAACACAAGTCCAAGTACAACATGTAATAAATTAGTTATATCACAACAAACTAAGATTAATAGGAAGTGCAAATATCTCTAATTGGGAACCTGTACATAAACACATGCACTTCACGTGACAAACAGGAATCAATAGATGGATTTGGCTAACATGTTCACTTCCTTGTTGCCATCCAATTCAGATCATCTGATGGTTCATTTGGGAGGTTACAATTAATTTATTGCTCTGTTTGCACATTCTCCCATGCAATCAGTTGCATGTGGCAAATTGCACAATTGTAATCTCCCAAACGAATAATCATGTGATCTGAATTGGGTGACAACAAGGATGTAAACAAGTTACCCAAATGCGTCCAATGATTCCAAACAATTAGTGGTAGGACGACTTGCATTCCTAAATACACTGTACACTACACAATCATACAGTCTTCTCTGATGGAAGTTACAATTGACACAAAACTAGTAAAAATACTATTCATCAGCAGTTACAATAATTTAAAATAAAAAAATTGTTGATGAATAAAATAGTTATATCAGTATATTTTAGATAAAGTACTTTAATAAATTAAGAACTCCCCAAATTTGTCATTTAAGTTATTGAATATGTTGTTAAATGATATGTTTGCATCGAATCTCATAGAGAATTGTACAAGAAGAGTTTGTATGTACATGTATTTAGAAGGTGCTGAATACAGTAGTTTGGACAAGTCAAATATTTTGATTCATTAAATAATTACTTCTTAAATTTGATATTTAAGAAAACATTTTTTGTGTAAAAAAGTGGTAAGATTTCTTAAATTATTAGAAACATCATAAGAGCTAGGTTTGTGTACAAAGTTGTAAAGTGTCAGGAAAAAACCTCTATTAGTCACTGCTTTTATTGGTTTCTAAGTTTAACATTTTTTTGATTAACCCAAAGTCCAATCAAAGTAATACAGTGTTTACTTCTTGGAAATGTCAGATCAATTTTACTTCTTCATTCAACAAGGTGCTGTTAAAGAAAAACTCCATACCCCTCCCATGGAGGGTTTTTGGTTTNCCCACATCCCTCTGGAAATTCCAGTTTTGGTTCATACTTTTCTTTAAAAATTGAGGCCCCCTTGAAATTTCGGGTTAACCCTCCTTTCAGAGGTTATCAGGATATGTTCTGGTACAAAATTACATATTACATTTGCTTGTGAATAGTACATGCAATACAATACAATACAATACAAATTTTATTGTTAACTCCCCATGGGGGCTTTTCAGAGACAATGATAAAGATAATTTTAAAAAATACTCAAAGATCATCGTTAAACAATAATCAAAAAACTATTTACATATAAAATTTATGACATTAAAAATTGATTTACAAGTGTGAGTGTGCATTGACATGTACATTCATGGCTGGTGGTAGGTCTCACTAGAGCAATCTGTTTGTTTTTTCCTCTAATCTCCTGTAATTTAGTTACAACTTATTTTTTCTCGTGTAGTACACTTCAGTTGTAACTGAAACTGAACTAGCTGTCAATGTTGATAGCATTTGTTTCCATTTTGACATTTCCTCAAAATTTGAATGAAACCGTTCTGCAACTGTTCATACTCGAGTTTCTAGAAAGCAACATCAATACAGATCTGCCTTTTTCAGAAGATAAACACTTTTATGTAGTACATAGACACCATTTCTGTTTAATTTAATGAAGCACAATGAAACTCAAAGTTTGACACCAATATCAAATAAACTAAAGTACCAGTACAAGCATGTGTTGAGTAGTAAGATGTTACTTCTGAATTGCAAAAGTACACAATGCATGCAGAATCCTAATGTCTGAAGCTGTGGCTGTTTGCATACTTTGCAGGACTGTGGTACTCCATAATAACCATCCACATGAGCCCATCACTAGGCACATCTAACTCCCATACTAAGCCTTTGTCATGGCTTTTTTTACAGACTGATTTATTTCGAGACTCTCTTTTGCGTTTGGGGTGCATGTATCAATTGCACCTAGCAGCATGGTATATTATGACAGAATTGTATGTGATAAACCATGCTGCCTGTTGGAATAGCCATATGTAATAAACATGGAATGGCACATGCAGGCCTGAGCTAAAAATTGCAATTATATTAATAATCCAGCACATATCAGTTCAAGGTGCATATTACATTACACCTAGCAGCATGGTATATCGCCACAAAAACGTCCGTGATAAACCATACTGCCAGTTGCAACAGACATGTGTAATAAACATGGAACCGCACGTGTAGACCTGGGCTAAAAATTGCCAATAACAATGCAATACAAACCACTTTTAAGTACTCAATTGCACCCAGCAGCGTGATATATTACCACAAAAATGTCTGTAATAAGCCATACTACCAGTTGCAAGACAATTGATTTTGTTCAACAGCTTTAGTTGAATGATGTGGATTATACACAAAAAATGAATTACCAACATTGCAGGAATGGATATCTTTCTCCAGACCAACTCAGATCCCTAGCTACATCAGATTGTAGTATGTATTACAATGGAGCCCAATTAATACTGTCACCAATTTGGTTGTATTAACAGGGTAGGGTCAAATTTCCTGTCTGGTATAAATTGAGTTAAGTCTTAACAGATACCGTAGTTATTCAGTTATAAGGCACACGTTTTTTTTTTCAAGAAAAATCTGCCTTTGGGCGGCCAGTAAGTGCTAAAATTGGGGTGCGTCTTATAGCCAAGTATTTTCACACAACAAAATCTTAAGATCACAATTTGAGTAGAACTTTTCAGTTTGGTTCGCATGTCAATTGTGTAGGGATAATTTTTCTCAGATTCATCGTATCCTTTTGTTAACTTTCAACTTTTTGGTGCATCTTATAACTGAGTATTTTCATGTAATTTTCAGTTTGAGAATTTAGCTTGATTAAATTGCTAAGTTCAGGATGCATCTTATAACCAAGTGCGCCTTATAACCGAATAACTACAGTATATTACAATTGCACTTCTAAAAAACTGTTCTTTAATAAACTTCGGGAATGCAGAATATAATTATTAAAATAATGAAACTTCAAGCAATACATACATTAACAATGGAAAGATGAACACACCAGTAACTGGTGAGAGTGGCTGTATAAACAGGGTACAATTATAAAGGATTATACAGGTTGGGATTTCAGAATGTGGTTTTAACTGTATTAACAGGGTGGCTGTATTAATAGGGTTTTCTTGTAAGAAAATGTATGGGCATTTCACTGGGACAAAAAAAAAATGGCCTTTATAACAAGATGACCGTAATAATGAGGCAGGTTCCACTGTACTTTTTATGGGGTGCATCAGTGGGGCAATACTTCGATAGGATAAAGAGTTATTTAAAAGTTAATAAATATATTTACATATATTTTAAATAGCGTACATGTACATGTGCAAGTACAAAAAGTCATATCATATTTTTTGTCACAGTTTATTAACATGACACAGAATGGGTAAGACTTATTTATTTCCAAAAGGTAGTGACTCCTTAAGAATCATAAGAGGAGCAGATTTACTTCTCCAGATGCAAATATCAGAACTGCTGCCAAAGAGTTTCTTGAGCCTGTACTGTATCACCTCAAATTTGTCCAACTTAGAGAGCACATCATTACAATATTTCCAATCGTTTGATTTCTTGAATTCTTTATCCTATTTACTCTTAACAATGGCACTTTGTGCTGTGAGTTCATTATCGTCATCATCTCTACCATAAACAACCCACTTGCCTTGCTTGACGACAGGTAACTCAGGGAGTGTGGGTAGAGAGTTACCTATTAATTCCACGTATGCCATGTTTGGAAAGGGAGAGTGCGGTGGGTTGGGAATTTTAGTAATTCGGACAAAATTGCCATATCTTTCCTTGTATCTTTCCTTGAGGGTGGTATAAAGTTTTTCAAGTGCCACTTCATCCTATAAAGAGAAAAGCATGAACTAGAGAAATATAAAACAGATCACAGAGAACATAGTCAACTTAAATAGGTCTCCACCCAATTTGTTAGGCTAAGCCAAGTTTTCAAGTTTGTCTTACAGTAATCAACATTAATCAGATTAAATTTGATTTATAGAAGCAAGGATCTCTCTTGAAAGCCTTACGGACTTATTTTCACACGCAACTGTTTATTAGTAAGAGTGGTTTCCAATTGAGTGTCAAAAGTAACAGGCAATTACTTTCATTGGTTTTGGTTTTGGTTTTACTGCAGTTTGAGATTGGCTGAGTGGTCTAATTGGTAAGTAATTGGTTTGGTTTTGATTTTATGATGCTCAGTTGAAAACCACTCTATTATAATACAGAATAAGATTGCCCAAACTTTTCTGTCTTTGGATGAAACCATAGTGTGTGACTATTCCAGTGAAAGCTATTGAACAGTTCTATTGTCTGGTCCTATTTGTTTTTCAATAAGCTGAAAATAGAGATTTGGGATTTTTCCAATCCTCAAGTGTTGCAATTTTAGGAATTTTTCAGGCTAAAAAGAACAGTATTATTTTGCTTCTTACCCCCAGGAGCATATTGGAAGCTTCTTCTCGACATCTTTGTACAAACTCTTCTTTGCTTAGAACTGGAGGAGGGACAACTACTTTTTTGCTTCTCCTGTTTATGATTTGCTTTGTGAGCCTTCTTTCTTTAGACTCCTCTTCTGTCAGGACAAAACCATCTTCAATTAAATCAAGGTCTGGTGGTGGGCGTCGTCGTTGTGCCAAAGCAATAAGCTGAAAAATAGTTAGTAGAATAATGAAATACTCGTAGTTTTATCACCTGATCTCAATAAATTAAATACTTTATATTTCCCTATTTCCCTCCTTTTTGCCTCCCTTCCCCTGATAAATATGATAGTTTATACAACTGAAGATCACGCGACTGTAACTAGGTTTTATGAGATATCATCGCCGCTATATTGAATGTCATTTACAAAAAGTTTTCTAACTAGCTTTCTTTTGTTTGTGTCATCCAACATGGCCACCAGGCCTATGTCATTTGAATCTTGAGGCCCCAATTGGGATTTTTGAGATACGGAACATTCAGATCAAAAATTGACAGAATACAGGATATTTCGGGAGAAAATCAATGGGATACGGGATATTAAGGTTAGATAAAACGGATATTGAGTCGGACAATCGTTAATTTTTTGCAACTAAAACTAACGGGATTCGGGATATTGGGGTCAATTTACACGGGATGTGGGACACTCGGACACCCCCGCCCCCTCCCGTAGAAATCACAACTTAACTGTCAATAAAACTGTAAATATCACCAAATTATTATCAATAATAAAATGATGTTTAGCTTTACCAGATCACCGTATTTTTTCAACTGCTGAGCCTTTCGATCTGTGGTTTGGATGCGTTCATATTGAACCAACGCTAGCACCAGTTTCTTGATCAGATCTGTGCGTCTTTGGACGAAATGGTTAATCCTTTTTCTTGTTGGCATCTTTCTGCGAACCCTGTAACGAACAGGTATTAAATTCACACAGGGCACGAGGGATTTCAGGAAAGTTACTTCCCCCGCCGCTTTCCAAAATATGGAAGCCATGTTGTCTCTTTCGCTTGAAGATCGCCTGGCTGCTCAGCTTTTTTTCCCCACGTTCCGTACGCACAGCGGATTTGCATCAAACTGGCATGCGTTCTTTGAGTTTCCAAGATGGCGGCTATTCGAACTCGACCTTTGGAAAACTTGTTGAAGTTTAAGCCAAAAAACAAGGAGAAAAGGAAAGTGATTTACAAAAAGCTCATCACTGCTCTTGTGCAATATGAAAGAATAGAAACAACCATCAACAGATGCCACGATTTGTCAAGAGTGGCGGAAAGGGTGAGTATATAAACAGATATAAAGGACATAATTATACGAGCTTTAAGTTCCAAGTCGTTTATATATTTGTATGCATAGCGTTCATAAACGATAGAGTTTTCACTGAGCTGGATTCTCTTTGGAAAGCCTGGTATTTAAATACAACTTTTTCCCTGCAGGAGTAAGGTGGGCTTTTCGTAGTACACGTATCTCTTTAATTCCTTAGTTATAGGGAGCGACAACCTCTGCCCCACGCACCCTTCCCTACCCTCCCCCTTTTCCCGACCCAACCACTTGATCTGTCTCAAGATGTATGGGGAAGATGTGATGCTACTGCTCGCTGAGCACCTCCCTTGGATTAGATGTTTAGAGATGATGGGCCAGTGCTTGTAACCAATGAAGGGGTGCGTGAAAAAAAGCCCCAAGTGACTCTTGATCTCATGTCAAATTCTCTTTTCCTGTACAAGGAAGTGAAAAGCAGTTTGCTAGGAGAATCTTGCAGTCTATCACATGGGTCTTTTTCCATGCACCCCTTCATTGATAACATAGATCCCCAGGGAAATATGTGCATTAATTTATTGAGGATGAAAATGATGATGGTAATGATGATGATGAAAAAGATCAGATTAGTAATTCATGGAAAGTAAAAAGTTACTTTTGGGGGTCTGGTTTTAGGACTTTTATGGGGAAATGGGGGGGGGGGGGATATTTGACCTCATTTACGTATCCCTATATACCCTCCCCTCGTGGACATATCTGTACTTAGACTACTACTGAAGTAGCACTTCTGGTTCCAGATGATTGATCTTGCTAAAGAAGGAGACGAGGAAACCATTAACAGCTGGATCACAGTAAGTCTGCTCTGCTGTCTGGTTATGACAGAGAAATGCTTCTGATTAGGGCTGAGTCTTTCATTACAATAAGTGATCAAGATAGTGTGACCATTCAAATGACAGCTATCAAGCGGTACTTTCATATGATACTGATTATGCTGTTAGTGAGTGGTAGTGGTGGTGGTTCCAATTTTTAAGTCTGTGGACGAAACCCAAGTGTTTGACCATTCAAATGAAAGCTATTAAACAGCACGTGGTACTGTTTATTATGCCTAACTGTTGGGTATGTGGATGAAATCCTAGTATGTGATCTACTTAGCAGTACATTCATGTGAAGTAACTTCAATACTTTGTTTTCAAACATCAATATTTTGTCAACGTTCTTACTGTGAGATTCTTTCTTTTATAACTCATGAGACTGAAAAGTATCAAGATTCAGACTTTTATTTGATGATCTATGTCTTTTTTCTTGTTTTACCAGAAAAAGGAGCTGATACCAAAAGTGTTTGGGTATCTTTTACCCCGATACCAAAATCAAGTCAATGGCTACACGAGGGTGTACCAAATACCTCCTCGAAAAACTGATATGGCCAAGATGGGAATTGTGGAATTTGTTGGAAATAATCTTCCTCCTCTGTTACCCTCAGATGAAGAACTTAGAAATTTAAAACTGCAGAAGCTGCAAGAACTGAGTGCAAAGTCCAAGGGAATTCCTATCAAAGGAACTCCTGTGTAATTAAAACAAAAATGTGGACTTGCACAAGGATGTGGCAGTTAGACACTGGGGAAGAGAGGCGGTAGTTAACTGAGGGGAGGGAGGGAGAGATGAGATGAGATGGCGTTAGACAAAACAGTCGTCAGATATACAACTGAAAGTGCTTGAGACTTTTCATGTAATCATACAACAACATGAATGCTCGTGTCTTCATGGGCATTCCTAGAGTTTTTTTGTCGGTTGGCATGAGAATTTACATCTTTATTGATTGCTCAAATACATAGCCTGCATAGCAGGCGTTTTCTAAAGAGCACATTAAGGGAAAAACTGCGAGGGAGTGTGAAAAATAACGTGAACAGAACAAAATTGCAAGCGAGTGGAAAAATAAGGAGCAGGGTTAGGGGGAAAGGAAAGGAAACATCTGCTATGTGGGCTAGCATGTACAAGGATCTGTGTTTGGAGGGAAATTCAAGGGGCAAGGACCCAGGGGAAGGGACCCCCATACCTTTTTGGGATTAGAAAAGTGGTTTTGGTACCTCTTGGGGTGTTCAGCCTCAAAAGGTCCACAGCAGGAGCTTTTGTGGTACCTTTTAGGGTATTGAGGCGAAAAAAATATGACAGGAGATAATGTGTTTTTTAAGAATTGGTACCTCTGAGCGGTGAAAAAATATTTCAAACCATGCCCACAAAACAGGATTTTGATAGCTCTTAGAGGTTCTTTTCAAAATGTCCGACCAGCACCACCCATTCTTTTTATATGGGAGGCCTCCCCGGGGGGGGGCAAGGCACTAGCGCAATAAAAAAATCAGACTTATTCTCGTGAACAAATGGTAATCGGACCAGAAAATGGTACTTCTTCCTGGATCTGTGTTAATGGAAACCAGCACTAGGCTAATGCGTAATTGATTTGTTTAGGAATGAAACTGATGGTTTTTTCACGAAATAAACTTAGTTATAAGTTGAAGAGCACTAGGTTTTTTCTCGAATTTGCCACTACAGTCATCTAAAGACGAGCCCCACATTACAATAATCATTAATCTTCTTTTCATCTAAGCTCGATCACCAGTCGCTGTTCTGGAAAGGACCCCTCGCTCGTACCCCGAAGGACGCTCGGGCACCGGACCCGTGAGAACAGCGGAAATCGAGCGCGGCCTCTTTTCCGCTAGCTTGCTATGTCTTTTTGACCAAACTGGAAGAGGTTCGCAACGAACAAATGCAATTGCGGTGATTTCAAACCGTTCTCGTGATAGTCACGTTATATTCAAATGAATAAACCTTTTTGGGATCTTGAAACATTGAAGTGGGTTCGGGAGAGAAGCCTGGGAGTGGGGGATCCCGTATGAAAAGGTCGGAGATGCTCGTGGGAAAATTTGAATTAAGGTGGCTCCATAGGGTAATGATTTATGGCGTTGCGCACGCAAGTGTTATGTTTTGAATGCCGTTTTTGCATTCATTTTTACACCCAGTCCTCGCAAACTAATTACATGTAATAAGCAATGATTAATAGTGTTTTACTATTATCTCTGTTAAAATTGTTGGTTTTAGGTCTTGAATTGAAAATATCCAAACAAATATGTGTGGTTCAAGCTTTATTTGACCCCTAAAAGATAGCCCTTGAAACGGAACAGGCTTGATTACCAGCCACTGTTCAGGAAGGGAGCCCGCGCTAGCAGACCGCACTCGAGAAACTGACAGAAATTGAGCCTAAAAACGGAAAAAAGAGCGTATTATTATTATTATTATTATCATTATCATTATCATTATCATTATCATTATTATTATCATTCTCATTCTCATTCTCATTTTCATTCTCATTTTCATTATCACTATTATCACGATCACTATTATCACTATTATTGCTATTATTACTATTATTATTATTATTATTATTATTATTATTATTATTATTATCACTTCTTCGAATGCACCCTACAAGATACTTTGACAGGTAAAAATAGTGACGTTTTGTCATGAACGCCCTAAATGAGTGTAGAATCCTTGAGTTATATCCCTCAGCGAGAGAACGAGCATCTCCTACCTTCTCATATGGGAGTTCCCCCGCCCCCCGCCCCCTGGGAAGAGAAGATGGCGCGGATTCAGGTTAAGTCGGGTTATCATTTCAGTTGTCTTATGAAGTGAACCACAAAGGCAAATGACAATGCTGTATTTTAATACGCGAAATGGATAAATTTAGAATGGCTCTTGAGTAGTTGTGGGTCTATAAAAAGTTCATCAAAAAAATTATTTCAATCATTTTCTACGAAAGAGCTATACTTGGAGCTGGGGCGTTTAATTTAAGCCTGAAAATGGGCAGATAAAGTTGCTGTTGCATTTAATTTCATCAACATCCGTTGAAAAAACGCTTTTAACAGATAAAAACACTACTGAGTGGTTGTCTAGACAATTCAGTCTTGCAGACTTGTATCATAAGGCATCCGATACCTAAAAGAGGAAAATAAAAATGTAGTTTTGAGTTACGAACGCTTTTAAATGAAAACTGCACAACTTTTTAGCGATGCGCAGCTGCAGCAGGTGCAGTAAAAATTATTTTGAGCTTCAAAGCCATTGTTGGGCTAAAATTGGAAAGTGCCGGCCATATCTACCTCGATATCTTACTATGATTAGCTCTTACAAGTCATGTGGAATATGAAATTGCGGAAGAGTCGGCGCAATCCAATTTTTCCAACCAGGGAAAACACACGACATTTGTGTACAAAACTTTTTGCAAAGACGTATGGCGAATTAAAAACATATTTTATTTGACACACTAATATTGAATTAATCGTTGCCCGCAAAGAGCTGAAAAGTGGGCAACCATTAACAATTTCATTAACGGACTTTTCAGTAGCTCGTTAAAATATAATATGGGAAGTGTTTGCAGTAAAAAAAACCGCGACACAATTGGTGCTTTTATAAACTTTGACCAAGATGAACTTGAAAGCGTTTTTCGCACCAAAGAATTAAAAGGTAAATAAGTATTAAATTACAAAATCGTGGCAAAAACCTTAAAAATAGTATGCAAATACAATTCAGCGGAAAACAAAATGTTGAGTTTTTCTGTTTGCTTTTTCACAGAGACCAAACAAGATGTAGAAGAGATCTTGCGTTGTCAATATTGGCAGGTGTTAATTGGTTGTGTTGAACTAGCTTCCAGGGCTTTGACAAGTCCTTATAAAGCGACAGAATATCACTTAAAACGCGTTTGGAAGACAAGAAAGCATCGAAAACACACCTAAAAAAATACGATTCGAGGGAATCGTGCCTGCCTTGGACGATGAGACTCGGAGACATACATACTGAAAGATGTTATATTTAATCAGGGTCTATGCTGATAACGTATTTATTGTTTTTGTTGTTGTTGTTGTTGTTGTTGTTGTTTTCGATGCTTATTATCACGACGAAAGCAAAGTTTGCTCCTTGACTTGGGGTGTTACGTTTTCAAAAAAGCTTTTCGGGAAGTAACAAGGTTAAACCAGTGTTGAGTACCTATGGAAAATTCAGATACCGGCTCCGAATGTCTTCAGAACTTCTCCACTGCTGTGCCATTAACTGCTCTGATTCCAGTAGTAACTTTGTCAACGCTTGCTGGACTTGCAGCCGTCTTCCTAAACGTCTTGGTGATCTGGGTAATTTACCAAACTCCCACTTTACGTTCTGTGACGAATTATTGGATTATTTCTCTGGCGGTTGCAGATTTACTGATTGCCATCTTGGGTGTACCAGTTTGGTGTTTGAGATTGCTTCACAAGGCGGAACTCATAAAATTCAATGTACACAATCTTTTCACGGTGATCGTGGTTTTGACGCTAAGCTCGTCCTCCATGAACCTTTTAGCACTTAGCTACGATCGATTTGTTGGCGTCATCTCGCCGTTTAAGTATCACACTCGGTTAACCCGAGCAAGGAGTGGAAAAATCATTGTCGGCATTTGGATATCGTCTCTTTCTGCCGCTTTTGCAACATTACGGAAAAAATGCGCCATTTCCCCGGAGGGACATTTTGTCCTCTTCACAGGGATCTTCGGTATTCCGTTCCTATTCATCGGTTATATTTATTTCCGTATTTTCAAAGAAGCTAAAAGACAGAAACGTTTGATTAAAGTTCAAATAGTCACATCAAGTCAAGCTCACGACCAGCCAAGCTTCATGAGAGAAAATAAAGCTGCAATGACAGTTGCTATGGTTACTGGCTCCTTTGCATTTTGTTGGCTTCCAAGTTGGGTTGATTCAATAATCCATCTTGTTTCTCCCACACTGTGGAATGAAACTCAGGTATGGTTGGCCACAACTACTCTGGCCTTATTTCCTCCTGTTTTAAATCCTATTTTTTATTCGGTGCGAATTGAGGCTTTCAGGAACACATTTCGTACTGTTGCTTTCAGAAACAGGAAGCGAAATTCTGTCAACGTCATTCGTAATTTTTGAAAAACTTTCCTATATACATCGGATATATGTGACATTTTATTACCTTTTTATTTCTTTTTTTTTGGTATTCACTGGTGTTTATATAATAAAAATAAATATAATAAATAAATATAGTAACAATCAGCAGGCGAGAGGTTACAATAATTTTTCAACCCGAAATAAGTATGCACCTGAAATCAAGTTTTTTACTTTGAATAGTTTCGACGTTATCGCAGAATAATTAGTCTGTCTGTACAAACTTAGAAACTGGGTCTTTTATTTCACAAACAGCTGTAAAAACAGCAAACATCATAATATTTTCTTAAGATGATGGCTGGTGAAGACCATCATTTTTCAAACATCAACGTTGACAAACCTTTTAAAGAGGTCAGTGATAAAGAAATAGAGAAATTGACGACTGAAATGAAACTTGGATGTTGGTTGGTTAAAAGTAATGAGTTAAACGCAAGGGATGAGCCATTTGCCTTTTAAGGGGGAGGGGGGCGGCGGATGATTTTGAAAACTACATCCCGAAGCATATTTGTACCAAAATAAATTCATTCACACCGCGACCACTGCCGAAAAAAAAATCCACGCACGTTCAGTGAGCCGAAAAAGGCACGTTACACGAAGAAAAGCATTATACATACACACGTCCCGAGAAAAGAAATTCCTTTTGCATGAAAAGGATAAAAAACTCGTGCCTGCATCGAATCCCACCGCCCCCCCCCCCCCCCCCCCCCCCCCCCCCCCAAAAAAAAGTATATGATAATAATCATNGAATCCCCCCCCCCCCCCCCCCCCCCCCCTTTGACGGTTCTTATATGTTTGCTTTCCATACTACTTTGTCAATCAAAGCTTAATTGCCTATCAACTTAACTTCTATCGATCTTTTTCTTCCATCATATTCAAAGCCCAGGATGTTGATTATCATAGTGCTAAATCGTAGAAGTACGAGAAATACAAGAATGTCTCCGATGTTTGTTATCCAATCAGAACATAGGCCCAGCGCTAGCGCGAGCAATGGCTGTTAGAGAAATTAAGCAATGACGACGGTGATGCCAAGGACGACGCCTCGTAAAAAATGAATTTATTTTTTTACCTTCGAATTTCGCAATAGTCGAAATCTGTTCAGTATGCCAATTGGTAGCTAATCGGTTGAAAAACGTGCAGCAACTAACTGTGAGACCAGCAATCATTTCCAAATGAAGAACAAAAAATTAGCCGTCGTGGCTCATGTTCTCCAAAACCCTTAGAATGTTTTTTCACGTTGTTGTTGTGCAGAAGACGGCTAAGAAATGCACAAAGATTTATAAAGTACGTGCATAGCTCATCAAGCCTTCTGCTTGGTGGCGTTCTCGTTGGCGCTGCCGTCGTAGTTTGCTTAAGGTCTTTATTACTGAGGTAGACGGGGACAAGTTCGCGTGAAAGGGTAGATGGTTTAGGTCAGTGTAAATTGCAGATGTGATTACCAGCAAGAAATCGAGGCAGGGCAATATTTTTAAAGGAGCACAGTCACGGTTTGTGCATATCGAAAAGTTTAGCCTCAATTTTTCAAATTCGTCGTTTGTAATCCGTGTCAATCTTCTCCATCCTTAGCAATCCTTGTTCCTTTATGGTTTATCATTATCTCTGGTGTTTTTCTGTCTTATTAAACTGTTACTTTCAGGTTTCCTACCATTTAAAGGTAATTTTGTATGTGGTCAAAATAATTCAAAATACCGGGACTGAGCTCCTTTAACCTTCAGGGTATTTTTAAAGTTGCACGCGAAGACATAAAATCCACAATGAGACTTCTCCCCCTGCCCTCCTCCCGGCGGACGGTTTTCGCGTCTTAGATCATCTTAGATCATTGAATAGCTACTTGTTCAGTCTATGAAACTGGCACCAATTAAAAACGAAGCTCCCGTCATCTGCGCCAGACGAAACTTTCCATTCGACCATTCTGCCTGCAATTAGATATAGTATACAACTTTTTAAATTCATTTTTCGTCAGTGAGATTCATCTGCCTCAAGAATCGAAATTGGAATATAATCCACGTATCAAAGTAAAATTACACACATAAGCTTTCCCTCGTCAAACAACTCTTCTTCCTCAAGCGTTAAATTAACCCAAACAATGACTGAGAACGAGACAAGTCACACAGATTACTGAGTCTCTTATTCATTCCATAACAGCTATCAAGCTATCTTCCACCACACAATCGTTTTTTCCTGTCCTGTACACTTCTGTCTGTTCTTCGGTTCTGCAATTTTTCAGGCGGGAATTTAACTGCAATGTCATCTTTTCCTTCTTTTACTATCTTTTCCTTTAGATCGAAACTGCCTCTTCGCCTAATAAAGGAAACATAAACAACATGACAGAAGATTAATAAAGGTGAATTCACTAGACTGCTAACAGTCTGTTTTTCTCTGGAAGTCAGGCAGGGAGACCGAGGAGGGACGCTTTAGCCTGGGCACTGGGACGAGACATTGGGATGAGACATAGGCGCTTTATATCTGTACACTGGATGGAACCTAAGAGAAAAAGGTTAAACTACATAATACAGGGCCACTTTTAACCATCTACCAAACGAGCCGGCTCGTTTGGCTTGTTTGTTCCTTTGTTAACAGAAAAGACTGGCTCGTTTGACTCGTTTTCTTTTAAGGTGGCTCCCCATAGTTTATGATCGCACGCGCGCTTAGGACGAAAGCTCGAGTAATCTGCGCGCGCTCAAAGGAAAACGTCAGTGTTTTTCGATATTTTATGACATCAACGTGAGCACAAAAGCAAAACTGACAGTGAATTTTCTCGCGTTTCCTTAGGTGAAATTCCGTAAAATTTGGCAGACGGGTAATAAATACTTTACGTAAGTTGGAGCTCGTTTTTCAGGGAAATCTATATGACCAGTTTTTCCGGAGCGCTAAAAGGCATAAATTCAAGTTGCAAAAATCTAAAACACTGCCTTTACAAACACTACTTTTTTCGTGTGTAAAATTCGTATGCCGCCGGGTTTAATGTACTGTAAAAAATTTGGAAGATTTCACCGAAGGAAATTCAAGAAATCACAAATAAAGCCATAAAAACGGTAAAAAAACGCATTTGTTTTGGGCGTTTATAATTCAAGATTAAAAGCCAAGACTTTAACAGAGATGATAGTAAATCAATATATGATCATTGCTTATTACATGTAATAAGTTTGGAGGACTGGGTGTTAAAACAAATGATGCAAAAAACAGTTTTCAAAACATAACACTCGCGCGCGGAACGCGATAAATCATTACCCTATTGAGCCACCTTAAATGACATCCATGAGGTGGAGTGCCTGTTCATTTCTTTCGCGCTGACAATGGCTATGAACCGTCAACTTTTGTGGGGTTTTTGTAATAAATGGTGGCCTCTTCCGCGACGTTAACACAATTTCAAGCATCGACAAGGTCTAGGCTTTTCAAGGAAACTATGACGTACAGACTTTCTCATTCTGTAGTCCATTTTCCCCAGGAAACACTGCAGTGCCATTGCACTAGATGTGCCACAAAAAGTCTGGATTCCGCTGTGTGAACCCCCGAAATTGCTACGCGCAGAGAAATTTCCAACAAAGAATCGCGCGCAACAACTTCGACGTATGCCACTTTATGAAGCCTTGCGCGCAATGGTGTGGTACATATATCTTATTAGATGTTCTGGTGTGTAGTGTCGCTGTATATTTTTACGAGTTGTGCCGTATTTTGACGAGCCCGTAGGGCAAGTCAAAATACAAACAACGAGTAAAAATATACAGCGACACTACACACCAAAACATTTAATGAGATATATTTATTATCCAACTGCAGCGAATACCGTCCAAATAACTGTACAAATATACAGCGATATTGTACAGTTATTTGTACAGTAGAAAACCTGTTTGCCGTACACTCTCCCTCTTTCATTGATAAATTTATTGACTACAGCAGTTGGATAATAAATCTCTTATTAGATGTTTTGGTGTGTAGTATCGCTTTATATTTTTACTCGTTGTTTGTATTTTGACTAGCTCTACGGACTCGTCAAAATACGGCACAACTCGTAAAATATAAGGCGATACCACACACCAAAACATCTAATAAAATATATATATATTTGTACTGTTATTTGGACGGTATTCGCTGCAGTTGGATAATAAAAGTAGGTATTTTCTACCCTCTGTGGGTATCCAAACCTTTAACCGAAGAAGCACAGAGATCTGTGTCAACTTTGCATTTCGTAGCCGGAAAAAGGGCAAATCAGCCGCGGTTCCTTATTCTTGCCTAATTCACCTGGCTACCGTTACTAGTTTGGTTTAAGAGACTATAATCTAGATGTTGTCGTTAAGATGTTGCTTTAGCAATACTGTCTTTAAAACAATACTATATCTGTGGTTGCCGCGCTTGGCCACGCCCTCCTGAATGTTCCGAAGATTGTTGCAGGCTGTGTCTGCCGGCCTGCAAGGCCAAAACAAAATACATAAATGAAATACATATATTTACCTGCTCGCTTGATCGTACAACTTTTGGAATGTCGCCCTCCAGATTAGCGATGTTTACATTGGCGCCGTGCGTCATTAATAGTTTTGCCATCTGATCCATTTCTCGCCCGCTTGCCGTGTGAAGCGGTGTGTTCCCCGCGAACGTCACCTTGTTCACGTCGGCACCACGCGACAGCAAGTATTCAGCCACGTGATATTTCCCAGCCTCCACTGCGTGATGCAAAGACGTGCGACCACTATTGGAATCCTATGTTTACGGACGACATAGATTAATTATTAGCTGAAGCGAGGTGGTTATGAATTGGTGAGGTTTAACAAATTGAAGACAGTTTTTCATGCGTTTGTCCTGTTATTGATCATGAATTTCGTCATAACATTGTCAAAGTAGCTGTGGATCCACGAGGCGATAGCCGAGTGAATCCGCAGACTTCTTTGACAATGTTATGACGAAATTCATTGTCAATAACAGGACAGATGCATGAAAAACTGACGTCAATTTGTTTTTTAAAATAACAAATTGTCACATTATCCGCTCTCGCTCGATGAGGCATCGCATAAATTATAAATTCATGTGTCTGTCCGCATATTGACAATGAAAATTAGCCAATGGGCGCGCGAGAATTTCTGCAGTTATCGTAAAATCGTTTTTCGATTTTCTATTTTTTTTCCTCGTCCTAACCGAACACCTATCTGTAAATTTACTCTCGTCAAAATTTCTCAACAGCCTCTTCTCCACAGCGGCCATTTTATGGGGTGGCAGTTGTAAAAAGCCAGACGCTAATCTGAACACTTACAAATTGATCAAGTAAATACATATCAGATCCAGCCAAACGGGTTTTTTTTTTTTTGCCCGAACGATCTTGGACTGACTACTTCCAATCTCGTGTTATCCTGACCAGTGGCAAGAGACCTCTTGCCAGAGGTTTACAAGAGGTTTACATAGATCATTTTTTCCTTTTTATTCGATGTTCTAATCGCTTTCGCGTCTTCTCAGGATAAAATTCAAGGTAATGTACAGCCTCTGTAAGGAGAATTGATGTTTTGGAGTTGGATTGAGTTCAAAAGAGTCTGTTACCTGATCGTTGATGTCAGCTCCCATGTCAAGAAGCGTTCCAACCAATTGTTGGCTTCCTGTCAAAGTTGCTACATGGAGGGCGGAACAACCTGCAGGCGGTTAAAAAAATTAGAAATCCGATTGATAAGCGAGGAAAATAATCTAGAGACGGTCGGAAATTAATCACTAATGGGGGGAGGGAGGTTTAAAGAAACGGGCATGGGGGTATGGGATGGGAGAGTAAGGGAGAGTGGCAGCATGGGAATTTTGGAGAGGAACATATAAACGCGGGATCATAGATTTCAGTAAGGGAACATAAAATTGGAAATATCGTAAGAGGGAAGTCTAGTGTAGTAATTGAAACGAACAAAATAGGAAGAATAACTCATAAATAGAATCGAATCGAAATAAGGATACAACTACAACTTGTAGTTACTAAATTAGTCGTAAAGGGAACTGAAAAACGCGACAACTGAATCAAAGAAGTAGAACGTTGGGTAGTGATAAAGCTAAGAATTTGTGATATGTTCAGAAATGCACGCGGTAACGAAAATGGCAGATTTGACAAAATTTTGTTGACGATATTGTCGATATTGACGGATGTGACGAAATTTGTAAACCTGTGGAAATTTTGTAAATAGTGTAAATCTAACAAAATTTCGTCAAAACTGTTGACAAAATTATACGAATGAATAGCGATCACTTGGTTTAAGGGCCCTGTAAAGTTGACGAATTTGGCGAGGGTGACAAATCTGACGAAATTTCGCCAAGGTTGATGGCTTTGACAAAGTTTACTAAAATTTTCCAAAATCGTCAAATCCACGAACGTTCTCTCTGTTTGACGAAATTTGGTGAAATCTACCAACTTCGTTACTGCGTACATTTCTGGACATAGGTGAAGACGAAAAGCAAAGACGAAAGCTCTCACATTACTCGTACATTTACAGTGTTTGTTTTAAGTCTCTCACCTTGAAAGTTTTTCAAGTCCAGTCTGATTTGAAAGCGACTACCTTGTGTGACGTCACGGATGGCGTGGACACAGTTGACGTCACCATCTTGACAGGCCAAATGAAGAGCAGTCTGCCCGTGCCTGTCCATCAAATTGACATCAGCCCCGCCTTCTATCAGCTTTTTTACGAGAGATGTTTGATGCGTTATCACGGCAAGATGGAGTGGAGTCTGAAACATTAGGTTTTAACACGTAAACAATTTGCCAAAAACGGCACTCGTGCGTTCCTGACGTTGTGTACTGAACGCGTTTCAATGTTACCAACCTCGTTCCCAGGGTCTCTATTCTCCCCACTCTCGCTCCAGGGAGGGGGAGGGGAGAGAGATCCTGGGAACGAGGGTGCAATGTTACCTGTCTTAGCTTGTTATAAATGTCAATCCCTCTTGACTTCATACTCTGGATGAAAAACTCGGTCAGCGGTTGGTCTCCCTGGACAACGGCGATATGAAGGAACCTGGTAACGACGGAAAAGTCAGTTATATCTGAATTTATCTCGAACAATCAAATAGAGTTTCAACAGGAAGAGATACCATTGGCTGATCATTCAAGTTCCGCATTTCTGCTCATATTTTACGTTTGAATAGACTGAATTATGGCTGCTGTCAAGATGGCTCTCTAGTATTACTGAAGAAAATAATCACCAAAATATTTTATTGCGAGAAAGCGCACGTTTTCACAAAATACTTCTGGGCAAACTCAGTGTTGCAAAGGTTTTGAAAAACTACTGAAGTGAATTTCGTAAATCTTAAGGAACACTTTCTATTCTAGTTTTGTGTGACACTCAAAGAGCCATCAATTCAACTTGGAAACAAACATGATTTAAAAGCACGGTCTAATGAAACTCAGAACTCGTGATGTTTTGCTTTCGAACTTAAATCTCGATCTGCTGTGCGGAAATCACATGACAAAATGCTGTTGAAACACGTGAGCTATAGTCCTCAGGAAGTGTCTGGGCTAAAAAAACAGTCCTATAGGGAAACATATAATATCCAAAAGACACCGTGACACGTGGCAATAAAAATTGAAAAAATCCTTTCTCCATGGTGGTCTTAATGGTCAGAAAAAGAGATGCAAATATTCATATGTTCTCCAGTAAAATCATTCGAAGTTGGCATATGAAACCTTGATATTTGGGAAAAATCTGCAAAATTGTCTCGTGTTAAGTGTGGTTTCGGCTAATTTCATGTGTCTTGTTGGTCCCTGCTCAAAATGAAAAGGAAAACTGGCAAGTTCTGAAGCAAGTTCGCATCACCGGAAAGTCAGTAGGATTAATCATCTCAGCAATGGCGTCGTCCCCGCAAATAGAATCTTACAAGAAAGTTCTAATAAAAATGTAATGTACGGATGAAAAAATTATACTGAAACTTTTACAGGATTCTTGTCGTTAATCAAAGCAGCGAAGCATTTTTTTTTTTGGCGGAGCACAGTCCTTATATAATGGGCTCACTTTAAACTAGTCGTCACTGCTGACGAAATCTCTGTTTTGTGTGTCGTTATGATCGGCATGATTGCAATACAGTTCCGCCTAAAATATGCTAACGTAAGCAATATTCCAGCCACTCTACCGTTACTTCTGTGCCTAGTTTACTGGTCTTCAGTATATTATTAGAAATGTCATAAGTAGCATTAGAAATGTGAATCCTATACCAGCTTATTACCCATATGTTATAATGACATCTTGTTGCCGGGTTTTTGGACCTCTAGCTATAAGATCAAGAAGTCAATGAACATCGACTGAAAAGTATAACCTCTGTCAATTGAGCTACTTTGAGTCATAAAATGCGTTCAAACATCTCCAAAGGGATACAAACGAGTGTGGAGCTTATAAGGGTGAATTGTACCGGCGACGTTTTTTTTTTTTTAGTTTGCGGTTATATTCTCATGTTATTCCAAAATTAATAAATTAATAAACCTCGAATAAACGATCTGGGTCCATATTATTGAGAAACTAGCGCATAGTATTTTGTTTGTGGCGCAGCAATACGTATGTCAATCAGAGCTTTAAGATGGAATAAAACAGTCAAAATGTGAAATAAATAACATCTTCAGCGCTTACGTGTCGCCATCATCGTCTTGTCCAAATAGATCGGGCATTGGAGAGGTTTCCGCTACCGTGCGAACACAATCACTCGATTGTCCAGTCGGTGTAGCAGTGGCTACTGTTTGTCGCTCAGCGGTGTCACACAATAAAAGCAAACCTGAAGACGTTGCCCCTTTTACCGGGGTGTCTGCTTCATCATGTTCGATTGCTCTTTTCTTTGATTTCGCTGTACTTCCGTTATCGTCATACTTTTTTTCGCGAGAGTTCGGCGACGAAGATGCGTTCGGAGGCGCATGATCGGAAGGCAGTGCCGTCGTCACGCAAGAGACGTTATCAGGAGGTGTAGACTTGTTTTCTTCAAGAGAAGCACAGTAGTCGTGTCCTAATCGATCCAAAACGGTTTCTTTCTGTTTGGATGTAGACCCTTGTAGACGCTTGCGGTTTTCTCCTTAAAGCAACGAAACGTCTCATTACTTTCTAGCTGCTATTCTTTCGATTATTACAATTCAACGTTGGTTCGTATCTACCCATCAAATCAATCCAGTTGGGCAGCTGCGTATTTAAGCACGACAACTTTTTACGAGCTTACCTGCCATCTCTTATCAACCGTTTTGTAGATCCTTCCGTCGAGCATTTCAAGTTTTAGCCAGGGATTCTTCATACGTTCTTGTTACACAACTGGAGAGACATGTTTTCAGCATTCATGACAAACCTGAAGCGAAATTAGAGATCTTGTCATGCAAATATATGAGTGTGATTGGATATTTGAGCAGGCGAAGGGGGTTTCCCCAAACTTTTTTCATCTGGCCAAGTACGTAACGACTTGCCAAAGGCGCTCGCATTTGTTTCTGCCATAGTGCATGCAATCAACGGCAAATTAGTGTATGTTCTTCTTTTTTAACCGTGTGTCGGTAAACGTTTTGAGCAAAGTGGAGCGTAGATTTTGACCAAAACCGCCTGGAAAGTTTTCGATGAATTATTGACTAGCATTTTCAATGCTACCAGCAATATCACTGATTTCAAGAATAAATCGTTCCATTACCTGGCTTAAGGGATTTTCTTATGATAATCTTTCCTCATAACTGTTGCTTGAAAACTTGTTTTCAATGCTATTTTTGTTTGATCGTGCCAACGGTTTTTTATGGAAATTTTTGGGATCCTTTGTTGTCAGGGACAAAAGGCTTGTGATTATAAATACATAAATAAATAAATAAATATACATTTATATAGCGCCATTTTCCACTAATTGTCCATGGCGCTTTACAATACTTTAAAATTNATAAAAAGTAAAAACTACAAATCAAATGCACGCTTAAAAAGATAAGTCTTAAGATTAGCCTTAAAAACTGCCTCTGATGATGAAAGTCTGATCTGGAGAGGTAGTTTATTCCAGAGCCTTGGTGCCGCCACGGAAAAAGCCCTTTCACCATACGTTTTAAACCTGTTGTTTGAAGATCTTAGTGTCCGACCAGAAATGTTAAATCGCAGTAAATTCTTGTAAATATAGCAAGGCCGCAATTTTCTCCACAACTACCATAGCGCAGTAGGAAAAATGTTTAAGGAATGGAAAAATAATTACTTTTTCACTTTGTATATCGGACTGTGTTTTTTTTTTTTTTTTGAAAAAAAAAAACATAATAATACTAAAATAACACAATGTCACGCAACACTGTCGTGACATCATTCCCAGTGTGCTCTCTGTTTCCTTCATAGCGACGAGTTTTCTAAAATGGCGACCAGTATCAGTGTTCAGACCTGCAACTTGGTAAGAATAATTCGTTAAATTGAAGGGGTTTCAAACTGCACTACCCAGGAGTGGAACTAGAAGGCCTAGAATCATGCATGTTTCCACTGTTGCGTAGAAAATAATTCAAATTTTTGCGTTCGAACGCTAGCGAACCAAATTATCTTGCCTCTGATGTCGCGTTTGAATCGATCGCTAAGACGAGTTTATCACATACTACCCTGAGAGCAGAGCCGCTTTGATCTTTCCTTGTTAAGTCGGCAAAGAGAAAGGCGATCTTCAATCTTTCCCGACTTATATAGGAATGATCGAAGCGACAATGCTTACTGGTTAACCACATACATGTACTGGTTCATTTGAACTTTTGACTTTGAACTTGTTCGTCAAAGACGTTTTATCGCATTCATTTCTTCAAACGTTTCCCAAAACGATCATATACACGTGCTATGACTGATTATAGCCCGAAATCTTTTCAAAGACATTGTATAAGCCATTCTATCGTTCTTTCCCTTTTTCACCATTCAAGTTGCAATGTAATTCGTATGATGTAAGCTTATTGTTTTTTTCGTTGTTTTTTTTTTCCATGCGAAAGGGTTTCTTCTCGATATGTCATGTTATGGACCTAAGGACCATAAAGAACTGAGAAATCACAAGAATGGAGTTGAACACAAATTCTACAGTCAGCTTACCTCATGATACAATTAATATCATCTTTGAGTTTGCCCAGCCTGAGTTGGAAGAAACCAGTGTGAATGGGGATGGAATAATGTCAGAAAGGACTGGTGACCAAGTTGTTGATCTAGTTCACAACCCATCTGGGTCACATGGTGACCCAGCTGTGCAAGCTCAAAGGTCATCAACAAATGATCTCAACTGCTTAAGTGGATCTGTTGCAACTCAGGAAACTTTGGAAAGTGATGATGAGCGAATGAAACCTTGTGTGACAAAAAGAAAAACATCAATAGAGACATCACAGTCAAATGTACCACAGCTGTCAATTTCAAATCCACAACAGCCTTGGTTTTCAAACTCACTGCAGCCATCGATTTCGTGTCTGCCACAGATGCCGACAATGCAAATCGGAAACAAGCAAGTTGTTCAAAGAGTATATGTCCAAATGCCAGTACAGACACAAGTTTTTCAGAAACAGAAGACTTCAGAAACAAAATCAACACAAGTGAAGAAAAAATCAAATAACAGAAAGGTGGATTACAGTCGTATAACTAAAAAACAGGCTGAAGGCACTCGGATAACTGATAAACAGGTAGATTGCACTCCAATAACTAATTCTACTAAACTTGCTCTTCTAAATTTTTTGAAAAAGAAATCTGTTGCAACTGTTAATGAAACAAATGGCAAAAGTGGTGAAGACCACATGGAGCCTGAGATCCAAATTCTTGTACCTGTTGGAGAAGACAGCAATGCTTGCAATAAAGATAAAACCTATTCAGATCAGCTGAGCAACATTGGGAAGGATCTGATTGATATACAAGTAAGGACTGAGGACCAGAGATGTCAAGAAATAGAGTTCATCGCTGAATCTTGTTCACCAGAACCAGTTCAATCCAGTCAGGACTCTACTCAGTCTTTTAATGAATTGACGTCAACTGGAGTTCAAAGTAATAGCACTTATCAGCCATCAAATCAAAAATCAGATGCTGCAGGGGTGAATGATGAAATTACTGACAAAGATATGAAGCAAGCTGACAAAAACTGTAGTTCTGTTTCTCTGTGTACTAAAGGTAAGACGCTTCCTGTGTAACTTGCAAATCTCAGACCATTAGGGAACCTTCTCATCACAGACCAGTTTGCTCTCAGATAGCTTTAAAGTTTGACATGACAGGTCAATTTTACTTCACTGTACCCTGCAGGGTAGCTTGCGAGTGCAGATATACTTCCGGCTGTTGCTTGTCTCCGCTGAAAATAACGTCTGAGACTTGAGTGAAAGATTGATTTCAATGATGTCAAAACTTTTGTTTTGTTGTTGACCACTTAAATTCCCCGATAGAATATGACACTTGCGTACATGGCGATGCTGCCAGTTGGGACCAGGAACCAGTGATAATTTTAAAAATTTTGTGAAATTGGTTTTTGATGTTCCAAATGTTATAAGGCTATACACTTTTCCACAACAGTGCCCCTCTCCACCCAGAAGTACATGTTAAATAAGGGGGTACTAGCGAATTAAGTACTGGGGGAAAAACCCTGTGGGGGGGGGGGGTGGGGGGGGGGGTGGGGGGGGGGGAGGGGGGGGGCTTAGCAATACTCCAAGTCACTTCATGTTACAGAAACTTGGCAATGTGCAGTAAAAAAAACAGTGCAGTTGCAGCTTTTAATCACAGATAACTCAACTCAACTGAACTTGAATTCTTTATTGCATACTATTTACAGTGTTTACATTAGTTAGTATTATAGCACATGTGAAATACATGTACAAAGAGAAATATTTGTAACATATGGTTAGGGAAAAGACTGAAAAGATACCAGTACATGGTAACCAGAGTAGCTGTTGGCTTTCAAGCTGTTTACCAACATGTTATGCTAACTGTCGTAGTAGCAAAACAACATTACAGAAAAATACAATTATTAGTATAGGTAATCATATGGTTTCAAATTCAATTTGGAATTAATTTGCATGAGTGAGTTTTTCAAAAAGCTGAAATTGCACGAGCCTTTTCAGCGAGTGCAATTTCAGCTTTTTGAAAAACTCACAAGTGCAAATTAATTCTAAATTGAATGATAAAAACTGTATGACTACTTATTAATAATATACACATGGAAAATTGGGGGAAGGAAGTGCCAGAAGATCTTTCTTGAAGCCATTTTTGCTCATTTGAGAAAACGTGTTTCAAAGTTTCAGCACAAAATTTTCATCTTCATTTTATGTGATATCATTGGTTTGGAAAATTTCCTATTGTCTTTCAGCCAATCATAATCCAGAATTACGATCCTGTGTAATTTGCACTGGTGTTGTACTTGAACTGCACTACTCTCAGCCAATCAGAATCATATAATTTTTCCTGTATATTATTATACTGAGAATACCTTACAGAAAATATATATATACATTACATAGCTACAAGTGACTATTATTAACTATGTTTTAAGTATTTAAGAGTTGCTCAGGGGTTTCAATAAGATTTTTGAGAGGGGGGCATCAGGATAATTATGACATCTAGGCAGAAAATCTGATACAAGGGAAATAGCACGTACTATCAGGGTCTGAGATTAACTTTTTTCGGCAGGCACCAACTGGCGACTGAAAGTTTTTTTTTCAGTTGCCATATGGAAAAATGTGGTCGCCAAAAAGTGTCAATAAAATTCCTTCACAGCGAAACACAAACCAAAATTTTTGTTCGCCACAGGCTTGCCTGCAAAATATTTGCAATCAATGTAATCAGGAATCAAACCAGTGCTGAAATCATCTTTTGACCACTTTGACAGATCTACATCTCCACCTTTTGATGCCCAGAAAATATCTAAATCTTCATCTCATTTCTTTGCGGATGTTCGCGGGCAGCTTTGAATTTTATTTTAATCAATTTGGCTGAAAATCAAAGTTATTGTTTGTGCAATTATCGTGGCATGAAATAGTTAATCACCCACTGGCGACCAGTTGTAAAATTCTGGTCACCAGTGCAAAATTTTTAGTCGCATTGGCGACCAGGAAAGCGCAATTTTGGACCCTGACTATAATGAGCAAAATCATGGTTTCTTTGACTGAAAATAAGTTAAACTTTCCGGAAGACTGTTAGACAGTCTTCACAAAAAGACAGGAACAGTACCATACAAAAATATTGATGAAGCAGCCAGGCAAAGTTCTGTTCATATCAGGTCAATTTGCTTGGTGCCCAGCCCTTAATGAAACCCCTGATTGCTGCTTTTGATGCTTCTTCTTAAAGGAATTATATATCCGTACTAAAACCTGCATGGAGACGTCTACAAACTTAAGGGCAGGGGTGGATCCAGGATTTTTCTTAGGAGGGGGTTCACCACTAAGGAATGGCGTAACTGACTGGTGAGGTAAACAAATTTTAAAAGCTAATAGGAAGAAGGCTTCATCTCAGGGGGAGGGGTGCGCATTACCTGTACCCTACCCCTAGATCTGTCCCTGAAGGGAATAGTACAGGCATCACACATGTAGGCTGACCCAGCTATTATCGGTATTACATGCACATTACACCACACCTACTGCTGCTACAATAATTATTACCATAACTAAAGATTTTACCAGATTCAAATTGAAGGGGTGCATGAAAACAGCCATAAGTGACACTTGATTTTATGTCAAATTCTCCTTTTTTCTTTGAAGGAAGTGAAAAGCAATTTGCTAGGAGAATCTTGCAGTCCATCAGATGTTACTTACATGAAGGGTCTTTTTCCATGCACCCCTTCAATTAAACAGATGTGTTGGAGCCATTAGATTCTATTAAATTAATACATTTTTTCCATTTCAATTTATAGAGAGTTGCATAGAAATAGAAAATACTACTGCTGATGAAACACCGGAGAGTGAATTAACAACTAGTGTTCAAGAAGTAGATGTTGTTGTGCTGCCATCACTTTTGCAACCAGATGTTTCCACAAAAGTTGTAAAAAAGACTAAGAAGGTGCAGAAACAAGAAACAGGTAACAAGAAAGTTCAGTTTGTTAAAAAAAATAAAAATAAAAATTACAACCCTAGGTAGCTTATGAGGTTGCCAGTTTAGAGATTGCTTACACTGTTATCGTGTGGATCGAGGCAGCCTTATTGTTAGGGTGCTGAACTCTGGTTCAAGGGGTCCGGGTTTGAGCCCTGGCCAGGGTCATTGCTGTATGTTTTTGGGCAAGACACTTTACTCACACAGCGCCCTTCTCCACCCAGGTGAAGACTAGCATCCCATCCAGGGGGGAGTAGAAATACTCCTAGTTGCTGAGTGGAATAAATGCTAGCAGTATGGGCTACTTGACCCAATGCGGAACTCACCTTACACTGCTAGAGCTGCACTTTACAATTGGCACGCACATCTAGAAGACGAACAACGAAATTGTTTGGAGACATGGATAAAAAATATGAAATTCTTAAGGAGTCAGGTTGGGTATAAATGAATTCTTTGTTAGAATGAATGAAAAAAATAAGAACAATTTGGGTTAAAACTCAGAAATTTCGTGGAATCACGCATTTGGGTTAACAAGGGTTAACAGAATTTAAGGAGTTATTTTTTAGGAGTAAGAATTGCAGAGATTCTAAATGCAATAGTCGAGTGCTAGAGAACAGTTGGCATTTGATGATGGTGGTTTTATTTTGTTTGCTTATTTCACAGGCATCAAGAAAACGAATAGAAAAAACCCTCGCGAGTGCACAGAATGCGGTAAAACTTTCCCTACAACTTCACAGTACTGCCAGCACATGAACATTCACTACGACCGAAGACCTCATAAATGCAACGAGTGTGGCAAAGCATTTCGTCAACGACATCACCTTGCGAAGCACCACCTTATTCACACAGGGGAAAAACCTTACGTCTGTCAGTACTGCAATAAGGCATTTATATCGTTTTACAATCGGCGAGACCACGAACGAATCCACACAGGAGAGAAACCCTTCGAATGCGCGCACTGCGGCGGAAAGTTTCGTTATGCACAAGCCGTCAAAGAACATGAAATCAACTTCCATGGCATTGGAAAGAGAAATGAAAATCCGGTGAAGGAAAAACGGTTTTATGCGTGTAATATATGCGATAAGACGTTTTCGTGGTCAAGTGCGCTTTCGACGCACAAGAAAATTCACGCCAATGTTTGGCCTTATAAATGCAAAAAGTGTTCCAGGGCTTTTAAGAGTTACAGCAATTGGTGGACGCACAAGAAAAGCCATTCGAAAGAGAAACCCTTCGAGTGCGATCTTTGTGGACAGCGCTTGAAACGTCGTGGAAATCTCAAAAGGCACATCTTGACGCAACACGACCCTGAAGAGGCAGAAGAATGTCTTAAAACCAGCAAAGAGTTTGAAAACTTCCGTGCGAATAAAGCTAGGTGGGCTAACAAGTGATTGATGTTGTTCCAGGGCTTTTAAGACACAAGAAAACCCATTCGAAAAAAACGAAACTAAAGGTTCGAGGATGAAATTAGAAAGAATAAACAAGCTTGATTACAGGATGCTCGCGTTTTCTCGCTTGAAGTTAAAAAAAACCCTCTGAATCATAGATTTACTTCAGAAAATTACATTTAAGTGCAGCAATGGTTTGTTATAAATAATTTTATTCCATAAATTGAGCGTCGGAGTATCCTTTAGGAAGGTCTTATGTTTTGTGAAGGTGAATTAGAATAGTGTTTTTATAACTCTGTTAGATTTTATAAGATATTGTTAGGACGCAAAATGTTTGAACTGTGTTCGTTAGTTACCAGCTTTCAACATTTTCAAGAAAATAAAAGACAGTATTTAAGTGGAGGATGCATGAGGGCCGTTGAAATGAGAATTGATACATTAGTACGTTACTTCATGTGTATGTAGCCGAGTTCTCCTTTAAACTTACCTGTGATACCGATTACTATAAAGACACTCTAACCAGGAGCACTTGACATTTTTGTGTGCATTCTTCTGATGATTATCTTGTGAGGTCATTTATATAAACAACAGGATTAGCGTTTTACACTGTAAAAATCGGCTAGTCGCCTTTAAGTTTAGCTCCCCCCCGCCACCTTGTTTAATCATCAGGGCAGGGTTGTTCAAATAAGCCCGTTGATTAGCAAGAATTTTGATTTCAGTTTTGTAACTTTTCGGTGAGGGTTTCTGTTTACACTGTTTATCCTTCAGTTCTGAGCTTGACTAAGCTCAAACCACACAAAACGTAAGAAGTAAAAAACATTTTTATACAAGAAAAATGATTTAACTTTTAATCCTGGGTTAGCGTTAACCGGATTTCGAACAACCCGGCCTAGAAACGCACAAAGAAATGTTTAGAGTTTATGGTTCCGGTGTCTTCACTGTAAAATGAAAGAAAACCTAACCTTGTTTTTGAGACCACAATTAAGAAGAGCCCCCTGCAAGTTAAACGAATGCAAATTTATAGTTTCATAATAAGGTACAGTATATTGGCCTGAAGACAAATGAAAAGAGGGGCGGAAAAATCTGAACTAAAACGCCCAACCTTAACTCCGGTCGCGGAAGGCCAGGGCTTTCTGCTCAACCGTACGTCAATTTAAACTTACAGTCCCCCCCCCCCTACAACAGCCCTGCCCTAAACCGTCCAAATTCAACAGTTTCAAAATGGCAGAAAAATCTTCCAATTGGTAAAGTCACTGTTGACACGGTTTACAGTGCGACTACTCGTACCGGGCCACTTGGAAAAGAGTTAACCAATCAGAATATTACTTGAGGACAAAGGATAGCAATCTTCTCAAATAAACCAATAACATTGAAGAATATGAACAATACAAAACTGAAAACCCTACAAAGTGCGAAGTGTTGCGAGCTTTTCCGTTTGTTGATTCGTTAATTTCAATCCTAAATTTTGTACGCTTTTCAACGGTTTCGGTTTAGTTGTTGCTAAATGAGTTAAGCTAAACTTTGTTAGCGAGATTTAATATTTTAGTGTATCTCATATCTCATCTTGTCTTTATATATAATCGTTGCATATTTGAGAATCAGTTTATATTTTTAATTTTTAACACGTCATATTTTTATTCTGTAACTATTTATATCATGGGGCCACTGGTTTTTCAGTTATTACTGTTGTGTGCAACCCTCAATAAATAAAGTTGATTATTATTATTATTATTATTATTATTATTATTATTATTATTGTTGTTGTTGTTGTTATCATAGTTATGACAATTTGCCGTCAAGGTCTGAATCTCTTAAAGTGTATATACCACAGAGGAGTCGATAAAACTTATGCAGACCCTTCTTACTTGTCGTCACGAGAATGCTACAACAGTCCATTGTTCTCAGTTAACGTTTTTATTGGTTCGTTCATATCTTTAGTTACGTAAGCAGTTTGAGAACTGCTTGCGTAGAATCGCAGTTTGAGAACTGCTTACGTAGTACCGGAGTTCCTTTACTGTATTCACTTTAAACAAGCCCATTGGGTGATATAGCCAGAAAGCATGGCATTCCATTTCATTTGTATGCTGATACAAAGCTATATCTATCGTTTACTTCTAACTGCCCTAACCATACATCCAACGCGAAGCTAGGAGACAGTTGAGCTGTGTGTAAAGAGTATTGGCAACTGGATGCTGTGTAGTAAACTTAAGCTGAATCAAGATAAGACGGAACTTTTAGTAGTTCGGTTCAAGATATCGACCACGTCCTCCCCTCAACAATAGCCAAATCGGAGATGATGTTATCAGTCCCTGAGAACATGATAGGAATCTAGGAGTTGCATTTGATCGGTATTTTGATTGAAGTGAACACTTTAAAATGACCTGCAAGATCGCGTTTTTCCGCATTTCCGGTACTGCCAAGATTAGGGGATATTTATCCCATGATACTGCCAAGACTATCGTTCACGCTTACATAACCTCGCGTTTAGATTACTGTAATTAATGTTCTATACTATGGTCTTCCAAAGTATCTGATTGATAAACTTCAACTTGTGCAGAATCCAGCAGCTCGCCTTGTTACCGCGTCGAGAAAGCAGGATCATATTACATCGATCCTTAGGCGTTTACACTGGTGCGCTATAGAATTATTTTTAAAATATTGTTACTGACTTATGAGGCTCTAAACGGCCAAGCACCTACAAGCTACATAAAAAGATCTGCTGAAGTATAAGAACTTGGGCCGTGTATTACGATCTTGTGGAATAAGTTACCATTGGACATCAGGCTATCATCGTCAATTACTGTATCTAAAACTGAGCTTAAGACATATCTGTTTACGAATTCTTTGATTTATAGTTTTTTTATCATTAGCCTGAGTTGTATTGAATAATGTAGTTTTTAAAATTAATTAAGAGTTATGGTATTGTTAAGCGCCACGGACAATTAGTGGAGTACGGCGCTATATAAATGCATTTATTTATTTATTTATTTATTTATTTGTAGAAGAAGAGATTTCACAACGACGGAAGAAATTTCGTTGGAATCGGTCCTAGTGGAGTTAAAATATTTAGAACTTAGACTGAAAAGAAACAAAAAGTCAACTCTGTTGAACAGGAATCTACTTCCCCACCCTCCCCCGACCACACTACTCCTTACCCTACCTCCCTCCCTGACCTTATTGACTCATTGTGGTCAGCGGTTACAGCCCACAATCAATAAGAATTTTCCACGTCGTAAAAAATCGGTCAACGACGTCGTTTTCATTTGCAAAATCTGCCTTTTTGTACCAATTAAACGCATCTGGGATGCAAGCTGTGACTTTGTAGTGGACAGAATACCGTTGCTAGAAAGAAATGGACGGTCCTCAACCTGGAGGCGATATTCCGAAGTCCGGAGGTCGCCTTGAAAATGCCGCTCCGACTTTTCTTGTAGATGCGTGGTATTTGGGTAAGTTAGAGGTCTGCATTTTCCATCCAGTACTCAGTACATTTTATCAATTTCCTTAGGTCTCAACTAAAATTTTTTAATCGCGTAAGTGAACTACAGTTGAAACAGAAATGGGCTAAAGCATATGCAATTGCCAGCTGTCTTGGAGCTAGGTGTAACGTGATCCCCCGGGAAATTGAAACTGTGTTGCTGTATTCAACACAAACAATAATTTGAAGTATACGTTATTTAGTGCCATAGTGAACTAGAAAATACATAGCTCAGTCATAACATTTTCACTTAAAAGCAGTAAAATAAAATTAGTTTAGCTGGGATAGATCATGTCGTGAACTTGAAACATTATTCTTTACTCTTGCACCATTCAACCAGTCACATTTCCTTCTTCATAGTCCCATTCTTAGATCGACCAAGAATGGTTGTAGCCCTTGGATTATCCAAGAATGATCCCACCCACCCCTAGGAAGGTTACTGGAAAATCTGAGGTGCAGGGGTTTCAAAGGCAAAAATTTTATCATACCTTCTAACCTACAAACGCAGACATTTCTGGCTGTCATCTGTCTCCACCAAAAATAACGCCTGTGAATCCAAGTGAATTATTGATTTCAGTGACATCAAAACTTTTGTTTGGCAGAGTACAAGGGACAGCCGGAAATACACATTTATGTCTGTGTTCGTAGACTAGAAGGTATGAAGCATAAGGGGAATTTTCAGAGGTTTGATAGGAGAGGAGGTTGTTCAGGATATAGTTTATTTCTGCAAGAACACAATGTTTCCATACAGTGCGAATAAATTATGTAACAGAGAAGTGTTGAGTTATGACTGCAGAGGTATCAAATTTTCAAAGTTGACATTGAAAAGAAAAGTTTGACTAGCAAAGGAATGCCAAGCGAATATATGGCAATAAGAAAACTGGTTAACTATGACAAACCACATGACTTGTCCCCTCTTCCCCCCCTCCCCCCACCCAGCACAGGCACACTAGCACTGGGACTCTCCCAGATGTGTGTGGAAAAACATTTTCCGCTTCTTTATTTCCTCAATCAGCCAGTGGAAAATGACACATTTTTTAGCATTGTTTAAAGTGAAATTTTAATTTAAATATTTGTACAATGCATGCAGGTGTGGGTTTCTTGGAACGTTATGGCTGGTTTATTGTTCTTGGCTTTGTGATTCTGGTGTTCTTATGGACTAAATTGAAGCCATATTGGAGAGAACTGCAGAACAAATGGGAACGTCAAAGAGAAATAGCTAACTTTGGTAAGTGAGTTGATGTGCTTGATACTAATGAATTACAGACAGTTTGTTGTCTTAAGTATGTTTTCATGTAGTGGTTCCATATAAAGCAGAGGTAGAGGTTCGGTGGTCTTTTGGTTAGGGCACTGACCTCTGGATGAAGTGGTCAGGGTTTGAGCCCTGGCTGGGGTCATTAACTGTGTTGTACTCTTGAGCAAGACACTTTACTCTCACTACCTTTCTGATTCACCCAGGTATCTTAATAGCAGTGAGGGGTAACCCTGCAAGGGAGTAGCATCCCATTCCAGGGTGAGGGAGTAGAAATACTACTACACTTAGTCTCTTCATGCTAGAGAAACCAGGATAAGCTCTGGCTTTATGGTCAATGATGGCCTGATGCAGACTTAACCCTTACCTTAATAACATGAAGCATATTAGTTACAGAATAGTTAATATGCAGGCCTCTGGGCAAAATATTATGTAGTTATTTTCTATGCTTCCATTTACATCTAGATCCCATAAAAGCAGCTAGTCAACAGGAAAGAATGGAGGAAGCAAGGAGGAGATTACAAGAAAAACAAGATGCTAAAGCTGCAAAGTTTATCGAGGACAAAATGCAGGTTAGTAAACCCCTAAATTATGGGCAGGCTACAATATTGTATATTAAAATGTGTAGATGAACAAAAATGAAAGAAATTGTTATCCACGGTTGATGTGTGACACTTAAATGGATATTAACTTTAAAAAGAAAATAAAAATTGAGAACTGATAACATAAAGAAATGTGTCAAAGTGTCATCTTGTGAAAAATCAGAAAGGTTTCGGGCATAGCCTTTCTTCAGTCTGAAACGGTAGATACATTATAATAATTATAATGTATCTACGGTATCTGCTTATTGTATACCCCATCAACATATGCAATAGCTGTGAATTATTAAGCTAAAGGAATCTTCTAGTTTTGAATATAAAGATTGCAAAAAGTATTGTATAAACTAAAATATCGTACAAATATGATGTTAATGCCTGGTAGTATGTTATTAGTAAAATAATGTGCTTTGTTTGAATTTTCAGTCTGAAGAAGACAGGCGAAGACAGAGAGTAGAAGACTGGGAAAGACACCAAGAAGGGAAAGGATATCGCTCTAAACGATTCAGATCTCCTGTAAATAGCTTAATGTAGTTATATTTAGCATGATCCCTGATAAAAATGTGAGCAACTAAATGAACATTAGAATAATCTATAAAAGAGTTTTATTAGTAATTTACAGACTGTATGAGGATGGGCCCTATAGTTTTGCTTACAAGAGACAAGTAACATTATATCACTGTAATGTGGTCTCACTTTTGCCGCATGTGATTGTTTGAAAACTTGCCATGACAATGCAGCACTGAAATGGGTTCCTCAAGTACGATTCAAATTTCAGGACCTGGGGCCCGTTTCTCAAAAGCCCCAGAACTTTTCAGGCCCGTTAAGCCATTTTTAGTCCATCTGTGCCTAAAAATGCAGAAGTGAATATGCCTGAAACTTCTTTTATGAAGGGAACTTCTCTTCATATTAAGAATATGTTGAATAAAACAGCTCTGTAAATGAAAGGTTCGAGATTTTGTTATGGCTTTATGGGCCCAAAAAGTTTACAGGGCTTTCGAGAAACGGGCCCCTGTTTAGAACTTTACGGCGATAAATCACCGCTCTTCTTTTACTTACTGCCATTTGCACAATTCAGAAAACTTTTACTGTACACTATGTACATTATCTCAACACGCTATGTACACTGTAATATAAAAGAGAACTGTGTGTAGACAATGAAGGCAGGTAACTATTTTTAATCGCTCATTTGAGTAGTCAGTTTGTGAGTTACTGCATGAGCTAGCTCACGTAACTCTTTGTGCGTACTAGGAATTTATATTTTAATCAAAAGTACTGTCATGTTTTCTTTTGTNGGGGGGGGGGGGGGGGGGGGGGGGGAAGGGGACAACTCCACCCAACACAAAAATATATTTTCTCCCACCTAGTCACCAATGTAATGCAGTAATGCCATCTCAAAATTGCATTGTTTTAGTTTATAATGTACTTACTGACTTTCAGTTTTTATTATTTTTTAGGCCGAATCAACTGAAACCACAAATTCTTCAAAACCAAAGAAACCTCCAAGGAAACCAGGTAGAAAATTTTCAATAACAGTTTTAAGTCCTTTAAGCTTGGATTTCATGTGACTATCCCGGCCTGACAATAAATTGATGTCTCTTTATTATGTACTGAAAATGTATGTCTGATCTTCATGATTAAAATAATAAAAATTAAGGGTACCTTTCTTTGGAAAATCCAAGATTGGATTCTTAAATCCAAAAACAGATTTTCTTTTTCTTTACTTATAACGGATTAATCCAAGATCACTTGGATCATGCTGCATCAAAGGAACTGATGAATCCACTTCGGCGAAGGATTCTTTGGTTTCTTTGATGCACCATGATCCGAGTGATCTTGGATTAATCTGTTAAGTAAAGAAATACAAAATCTGTTTTTGGATTTAAGAATCCAATCTTGGATTTTCTCAAAGAAACGTACCCTAAGATATCACTTTAATGTGGATACAAGTGCATGCATTTGCTGGTTCTTTACCAACATGATGCCAATTCCTAGAATATGTAGTCTCAAAAAGTATAGATTGAAGACATGTTAAAGCTACTAGTCTTGTAGATAGATTGTATTTAAGTAAATATTCCAGACAATCTTGTCATACATGAACAAAGACCTTAAGGTCAGTCAGTCTTTGCTGCTAGGCTATGTAGAGATCTGAACACATATTGCCCTAATAGGCGACTTCACAAAGAGTTTAAGTATAGTGACAATATATCTCTCTAATTCATCAACAGTTCAACAACTGAATAACTAAGAAACAGAATAACTACGAAATATAAATAATTATGTAATGCTTATGATGTCCGCAGATTCCAGTCCATTGTCTGGAGGTGGAGGTGGATTCAGTTACAGACCACCAAGAAGAGGTATGTCCCAACCAGGCATTAATTACTTTTTATTTATGAACCTTTTAAGTGAGGTTTAGTGATCTCTTAATTATTATTTGAAAAAAAAACCTGCTAGTGGATCATTGGATAATGGAATTCAAGAGTTTTCATTGGCTTAGCCAATATCTTTAATTGTTCTTTAAAAAGATGTACTTCTCCCAGTGCCTCGCTCTTCTCTGCACCTGTGAGTATTAATAGATCGTACTGGCAAAACGTTAACTGGGGCAAACTACTAAGGGGTACATGTACATGTAACCTGTGATGGTAGCAGTTTTTTACCCAGCATAGTCATAATACTCCTGGTAACCCCCATTAGGGAAACAAACTGGATGGTTGAGCTCTGACTTACCTAACCTCTACTGCAGCAGACCTCAATTCAACTCAGCCACACTCGCAATTTAACTGGTTTGAAGTTATTTGTTTCTAAAATTTGTCTCCTTGGCTTCCTTAGCCTTTGTGTTATAACCAGCAAAGAGGTGTATACACCTGAAACTTCTTGTACAAAGGGAACCTCTGTTCAGATTAAGAATATATGCATAAAACAACTCTGTAGTCATTAAGGTTTGAGATTTTGCTAACGGCTTTTTGGGTTCTTTGAGAAACAGGCCCCTGGACTAGTAATACATGGGCTCTTTTTTCCCACCTATACTGCAACTGATTAAATCTCACTCTTTTAGGTGCTGGTGGAGGGGGATGAGGTTAAATCTACACATAGTCGCCTAATACCAGTGAAGACTTGATAGTGCTGTATAATATATATATTAATTTAAAGAAATTTATGCTGCCTGTAATAATGTAGTACCAAGTTGATTGGTGTCTCGGCGACTTGTTGTGTATCATTTGTGAATGTGACAGTGAACTTTCTTCCTTTCTGGATATGATATTTACCTTTTAAACACAACCCACTGGTGAAAAGGTAGATTGATGCTTAAAAAAGTTGTAAAAGTTCCTTTTGTAAATAAAGTTAATTATCATAATAAATAAAATTGTTTATTATTTATAGTGAATGAGGTACTCACAATTTCTATTTGTTCCTAAGAATGTTACTTGTATTAGATACAAGTCATTTATCAACTTTAACATCAGGTAACTACTACCTTAAGTTTGGAGTCAAGAGAAAACGAAAGGTTGCCACAGAAGGACTTAGCTTTTAATTAATAATTTAAATACTGCTTTTAATTAAACTTGGCCAGCTGTAGAATTTCATATTTTCATTTCATATAGAATAATAAAAGAAGCAGTTGTAATGCCTTGTAATGGATGTCCTAGATTCCCTTGGTAGAATATAAAGAAAAAATGCAGATTTTGAAATAAATGAAGGTTTTCATACAAAAAGGGCGTATGTAGCATTTTGGGCCGATTTTTATTTTTTGCAGGATCGAGCTAATTTTTGGCAGACTGACTTGTTTTGACATGAAAAGCATTGTTGCATAATTGTTTTTGTTGATTTCTGCTTCATTTTTGAGAAATAATGTATGCAAAAAAACTCAGTTTTCCAAGCGGCATCTTTTGGAGTGAATCCTTCGAAGGTGGAATTTGACGTGGCGTGAACTTAAACAGTTACTTTCAGCAGCTTCGACAGCACGGTTTTTTTTTTTAAAAAATCGACTGACCATGTATCGAACCAGTGTCACGACAAAAGAAACTCGAATCTGGCCTGTTCATCGCCTTATTCGTTTGCACTAACGAAGCAACATTAAGAGAATAGTGTAATTTTATGAATAATAAAACTAGCGGTAAATACCACGCTTCGGTGACTTCATCATTTAGCAAAACAAAAGGTTTCTTTTGTTTTTTGCTGAACAAAAGATCTCCAAAAGATACCCTTGGAAAACTGAGTTTTTTGCATACGTTATTTCTCGAAAACAAAGCACAAATCAACAAAAACAATGCTTTTTATGTCAAAACAAGTCAGTCTGCCAAAAATTAGCTCGATCCTGCAAAAAATAAAAATCGGCCCAAAATGCTATATACACCATTTTTGCACAAAAGCCTTCAAATACAATTAATTGTACTTAGTTTTGGGTGGAAAGGGAGAGACTAGACCAACTAGAGTAGAATAAAATTCTAAATAAATATTGTCAAACAACAATGACACCCGTATAATATTTTGTATTGTTTGTCTTTTATTCATTTTTTTTATAATCTACATAAAGCAATTCAATATTATTTGTACTTGCATTAAGAGTGCCTCTTGGTTAGTGGTATCATTTTAATTGTAAGTCTATGACAATTCTTAAAGGTGCCTTGAAATATCAAACACTCATCTTACCCTGTGAGCAGAGACGTCCCTTTGATCCTCCTAGAAAAGTCGGGAAGAGATCAAAGGGACCTCTACTCACAGGGTAACAGATAGGATCAGTCTCCAGCCATGGGTGTTCCGGTGCGCCCGCAATCCTCTCCACCCTGAGGGTGGAGAGATTCGCCACCCTGACAGCGGAGAGGATCGCGGTAACAGACATGTACATGTATGCTGGCATCTTATCTATGACATCTATGCATCTAGGTCACAGACATCTCTGCTGTGGTTTACATTTGATGTTGGTTCAAAAGTTGATAGCACCGTTTCTTGTTTATTTTTCATTGCGTGATCACGCAGCATATGAAAGTAAAAACTCAATACAAATGTCATGTCAATAATGACATAACATTTTCTTAATTGTCATGGCAACAAGTCTTAACAACTGTGTAATATGAGAATCGTAATACTTTAAAAACATACTAGGAAAGGTTTCCAGATAAATGTCCTAATTTACATCAATCCTTTGTTCTATACATGTATACAGTCATGTATTATTGAGCTTGTCTCACCAAAAAGTGACAAACACATTTCATTGCATAGCAATGATTAAGTTCCTGCCTGCTTCTGTTTAAACATTAAACGGCATGATTACTAATGAGTAATAAAACTAATAAATTATACTTTAAAAATACCCCAATAAGCAATTTATTTTACAAGCAACCTTTATAGTTCCTAACGTGTCAAATCTTTGTACAGAACAATATAATTCTGTGAATGTATAAAATTAATGTGGACTTGTAACAGTGTTGAGACACGCCACCCCCCCCCCCCCTCCATACCCCCAATCAATTATGTTGAAGCATGCTTTGTCAACACTATCATGTGGTTACAAAAATTGAAAACAGATCAGTAGGGACATATATGAGGAGCTGAGATAGGACAGATCACACTGGCAGAGAGGAAACTTGTTTTCTGACAGTATCCAGCAAGCAATTCATATATATGAACATATCATACATAAACTTGTCTTGAAACAAAAACAAACCCGTAAAATGTTTTTTTTTGCAACACCAGTGTGCCAACATCACAATGTAACAACATACAAATATGCAGCAGGAAGATAATCATGACGTAAAGCATTTAATGACAGGTATTTCATAAAATCCTGATTTTTTTTTTCTAGATGTGTTGTTGTGCTCTTGTTGTAATGTCATATTGATAAGTTGCTGGTGTGAAACAGGCTTAATCCAATAGATTATGCCCTTAACTTCTCCCAAATTAGCAGATATTCTCTTCACATACCACCAAAGTCTTGAAAACTAACAAATATATATATGCATAGTCTAATCAGACTCATTTTACAGTACGTATTTATAAGCTTAGTAAGGGCTAACTACACATAAGTACTTTTGACCATCACATGCCTTCTGTCTTCATAGTTTGGCACCACTGGTGTGATCTGCAATGCAAGCAAGCAATTGAAGCAAAATTGTTTTTTATCATTAAAGTGGTTCAATGAATTGTGTAACATCTCTTCTGACTCAAGTCCTGACCTGTTCCCAATCTCTTCTTATTTAATACTTGTTTGCACACAAATTTTGGTTCGATGGTTGATATGGTGTATAACTATAACTACCTATTAACCGAAATGAGGACTTTACGGAAAGTCCTCAGACTGAGACCTTGCCAAATGTAATGACTGAGCAATAGCAAGGTTTATATGGCTTTTTGCTTGTTTTAGCAGGCCAGTAATCAGCCCATGGACATTACTGGAGAATAATAAATTATTAATTCTCTAGCATTAGCCAATCAGAGTGCATGTTAGATCAGCCACAAACACAAGTCACATAATAAAATACTCTTATTGCAGAATCAAAGGTCAGCAATATTGTGTGGAGATCTAGTCTACCTTGATATGCATTCAATTCATTTCCTATGGTGCATTACACACTCAGTCTGTTGTCACTTGACTATGTCGTATCTTATAATGATCAAGTTTATTTAGCAATCTTACCTCCTTATTTTTGCCACTTGTCGGTCTGATGATACCCAAAGCTGATTCAAGTAATAACCTAACATTCTGCATGCCCCGACCGCTTGCCACTTGCAGTGGAGTGTTTCCCGAGAAGGCACCCTCGCTCGCATTAGCACCACAATCAAGTAATTCTTGAATCGCCTCAATGTTTTGTGCTTCTACTGCGTGATGTAGAGGAGTACGGCCACTTTTGCCATCCTACAGAAAAACAAAAAAAGGCATACCTTGTTAAAGAGTGCATGGCACCATGGCAAGTAATGGAAAAAGAGCCTTGTGTTTACATAGAATTTGTTTGTTGAATAGCAGTACCTTGCAATTCACATTTGCTCCATGGTTAACCAAGCACCCCACAGCTTCAGGACAACTTGCAAATACAGCTTCGTGAAGAGGGGTAAACCCATTAAAGTTCCGTAACTCCAGGTCAACGATATTTGCCCCCTTAAAAAGTTCTTGTATACATTCAATACTTGATCTCTGGCATGCCAGATGTGCAGGTGTTTGTCCATTACGATCTGGTAAGTTAACATTTGCACCTGCAATTGTTAGCTTTCCTACAATATGAGATTGTCCTGTTATGACTGCAAGATGTAATGGTGTTTGCTTGAGGTTGTTGTATATATCCAGAGTTAGACATGACATGAGGTTGATAAGATATTCTACAAGCTGAGTGTTTCCATGTGCAATGGCTATGTGAAGTGGCCTGTAAGAAAATAAAAATGATGATTAGTTTCTACAGTTCTTACTATGTGTTGTTCCAGAAAATATCCAATTACCCCTCCCATGGAGGGTTTTTGGTTTGAACTTCCCTACCCCTCTGGAAATTGCAGATTTGGACCATACCTTTCTATAAAAAGAACTGGCTTTTGGGAACCTCTTCCCCATGGAATTTCCAAATTATATAAATTATATACCCTCCTTAGAGTGTATTTTCTGGAACCACAAAATGGCCTCATTATTATTAATTTTTTGAAACAAGTTGCAAAATTAATTTTGAAATAATTTATATAAACATAGTTTACAATTTTCAATGAGGTGTTTTATTTTATTTCTTGTCTTTCTTTTCTTTGTTTTATTCTTCCCTCTTTGTCCCTTTCACTTCTTGCTTTCTTTCTTTCTACCTTTCTTTCCCACCCCAACCCACGCAACCTGAACCCCATCCTTGTCCAACCCATCCCACCCAACCCCATTCTAGCCCACCCTAACCCACTCCACCTCTCCTTCAATGGGCTATTTTTTGCAGGTAATAAGGTAAAGCTTGACAATATTACTAACGTATCGCCATCTTCGTCCTGAAGTGCAGCTAAGTGACACTCGGAAGCTGACAAGAGACTCATTGTTGCCACGTTATCACTCATTAACTTGGGCTCAGGGCTTATGGGCGTTCTCGGTATTTCTGGTTCTGAAACTAAATAGCATAAAGCAAATTAACAAACTGACATCAGTTTTTCATGCATCTGTCCCATTATTGATCATGAATTTCAACGTAACATCGTCAAAGTAGCTGTGGATCCACGAGGAGATAGCCAAGTGGATCCGCAAACTACTTTGACCATGTTATGACGAAATTCATTGTCAATAACAGGACAGACACATAAAAAACTGACATCAATTCGGTTTTTATGATTTAACAAATTGTCAAATTGTCCATGCATCTCATAAACAATGTAAATTCATGTGTCAAGCCACTTATTGAAAATTAGCCAATGAGTACGCGAGAATTTCTGTAGTTAACGTAAAACTTGTCATTGATATAAACTGAATAGAGCCTGTATCTTTACTATGTAAAGATCAAATCTTTTTAACTTTTATAACTCCTAGCATATGGTTAAGATATTCCCATGCAGTCAGATAATGAGCTTGGGGTGTCTGTGGTACAGCCTTGCTTGGAAGGACTGGTAGAAAATGATTCCCCAAATAACCACTTTTTCTCGACCTGCAGCGATTGTACGTTATACCATACAAGTACTTTATTTAACCGAAAGTGAAGCGTTTTTAAAATCACGCGACCACCGGAAATGTCCTCTACCAGACAATTCAGCGGTTCCGTGTCGAGGTTACACATTTGGGACTTTCCCGGATGAGGAAGAACTTGAAAGCACGTGGGAAAAAAAAATCATCTTTCGTGGAACTGGGACATCCCCGTTTGCAAGTTGCGGCCTTAGTGTTAAAAAGACATCGACTAATGGAGTACTGCTAAAAGCAAAAGATAGAACTGTTCCAGATTGGCAATTATAAATTCCGTCGCACTTGAATTATTAACATGTCTGAACGCGCTTCCGCTCTTCAGATCAGACCACTGGTCCAAATATATAAATCACGTCATCAGATTAAACCAAGTTTATGTCTGAAAAGTGAAAGTTTTCTTTCTTGTTTTAGACGTAAAACGAGACTCATAACTCTAGACCCAAAATTTCACGCGAACGGTAAGATCTAAGCATTTTATCCTGATGCGAATTAAAAAGTAATATTCCTTAGTATAGCTCTCATTTGTTACGCCATCAGTGTAAAACATCAAATGCTCGATATTTTAGTCATTTACCCTTATCTTAGGATTTAATGGTCAAGCTTTCGCTTTAGAGATAGGGAAAATATGAGAATAAATATATTTTAAAAATATTGCTTTTAGCTCATGTAAAATTATATATTAAATATTGCTTACGCATACAGAATTTTAATTTCCCTACCTTGCATTGTGCGTGGCAAAATTGTCCGAGGTCGTTTAGAAACAGGCTCGTCTTGTGTGTTAAGAAAGGTGTCTGTATTGACACTGGTATTGCCAGATTTAGCAGGAATAATAACATTTGTAGCTGCAGATTTTCGCTTCTCTGCTAGTCTCTGTTTACCTTTAGCCAGTTTAGGCACTGAAAATGTAGACGAACTGACGTTAAGTTTTTTCTTGTTACAAGCGCTGTGTGAGCGATGAGGACTCTTTGGACCAGCAATTAGCGCATGATTACTCGGATCAAAAGCTTCTTGTGTTTCTCGCGTCATCGGGGAAACTCTGGCGGTTAGCTTTCTCTTGATCAGATCTTTGTTCGCCTGAATAGAATCATCGAAGTTGGGGAGCATAGCGGAAGTCACAATCTGTCCATTTCTACTAAAATTCACCGCGGCAATTTCCATTTGGTATCTTTTATCCAAAGCTGTTCCTGAACTTGCTGCACTCACCATTTTGTAGCACTAAAATATCGCTTTAGTCAATGCCAGTAGCCACATATAAATCGTAGCACTGCTAGTTTGCCCCTCGACTCAACACAGGATGCAGTAAGGCATATTTTTAACCAAGACAATTTTTAGCCAATCAGCATTGAGATATCTTGACCACCCTTGAAAGGGAATCGAAAGGGACTTTCCCAAGTTTCGTTTTCAGACTTCCTGTGAATGTTAAAAAACTCCCTGTTGCAGAATTTCTTAAGAAGAACAAAGGCAGCTCGCTACAACGTCTAAAGCTACATTTTGGAGAATACCCAAAGATGAGAGCCATAACAAAAGATGTACAAAAAATGTACAGTTTTCAAGTTTCTTCTAACTTTGTTACGCAAAATTATTGCGTGACAGCCTTTAAAGCAAGTTTTCCTCTTTTTCCAGGGAACCATGAGTAGCAACAGAAAAACTAAAGACGCTTCTCATTGTTTCCCGTAGCCTGTTATCACAATTTCTCATTTTTACGACTTGAGAGAGAAAGAAAATAAGGAAATATTTAATCGCTGTTCCTGTTTCTTAATGTGTGAGGAGAAACACTCTTTTTAGATGATATCAAAAAAGCGAGAAAGTTCCAACAAGGTAAAAGTAGGTTTTTACGTTTTACTCTGACGAAGAATGCCACGTGCACGTAAAAAGATTAGATTTTGTCGATACGAAATTATTTTTACCGCACAACTACATTAAAATAATTAATTTGCTCAACCCTATTCCCAGGCTCTCTCTCTCCATTGCCTCCAGTCTTCGTCGTTTCTTTGTTTTGTTGCCATGACATCACAAACGAACTGCCAAGGTTAGAGAAGTCACGTGATCAAGCGGCAATGGCGGCGAGCACAGACAGTCTTGACGAATGTGCTTGAAGAAATCGACCTAATACAATGTAGTTTCATTTGAAGCTGGTTCGTCATTTTTATTGATATACAGATGTCTTTGGCAATGCATCAGACTTCCTTAGCTTCGTCGAGTTCGACCGGTGCTATGAAACCGAGTCGAACATTTGGAAGTAGTTCAGTTGGTATGGGTTCATCGTCGACTTACGGTAGTTCAACAAGAAAGCCAAAACAAGCGCATTCCTCCAGTTCTCGGACTTTGCCTAATGGGCCTGGTCCTCTGCCAAATAAACCTCATATTCTGGCCAAATCCGGCACACGTGCTAGAGAGATAACATATGTTGCTGCTTCAAGGGTTACACCGGCTGATCACTTCAGCCATCAGAAATCTTACGGTACGGACTCCACGACAACGCGGAGAAAAACTTCAAACGACTCTGGTTATGCCAGTTCATGTAGAAACAGTTATACATATGGAGATTTGAGGAGTGGTAAGTCGAAATCACTCTCACAGCTTAATTCTCACCGGGAGCAAACAAACGATTTATCAAGATCTCCTTCAAACAGACCTAGAATGGAATCGTCCGTACATGGGATTAGCTCTAGAACAGGGCATTCGTTCACTCATGATCATGTACATGTAGGAACCAAGGCAACGCTAAATGGCAGTAGCAATACAAAAAGTAGTAGTAGAGGTATTTATCGATCGACAACTCATCTGGACTACAAAGATCCAAAGGAAGATAGAAAGTCGCTGCACAATGGTGGGCAATCTTATTCCTCGCACAAAGACTTATCCAACGCTTATACAACCTCAGGAAAAGAAAATTACAGTGTCAGAGATGTGGACAAAACGCGCAAAGCTACCATAACTGCTTTACCTGGGTCAGATATGAAGTGTGCTAGAAATTCGTCCTTCAGTTCTTCGAACTCTCCCCCTTGCAATTCGGTAAGTACATGTATCTGTTGTAGAAACTAATTATTTGGTTTATTTCTTCGTCAATATAGCAGCAATAATTCAAGATTATGCTATACCATAATCTTGGACTATAGTTGACAGCTAAAACTATCTTAATTTCCTTTTGTTGTGGTTAAACGTGTACAAAGATGTTTCAGCTGATGTTTTGATATTGAACAAACACATTCAATTAATTAAAATGTACTTTATTAATTATATTGTTTGCGTGTGCTGTGTTATTAATGCAGCCATCAAACTAATATTTTTTAAAGACCTGGCCTTATTGTAAATTGACAGAATAAACCACCATACTATATACTTGTATAATATATGTTGCAATTACACGATCAAAATTACAGCATCCATGTAGAAATTTTGCATTGAATGTTCTTGATAACTTCTCAAACATAAATAACTCATCAAATATAAACAAAGGAAATCATGACCGTGACACTGTTGGGATGTCTGATCTTAATTAGGTAGATTTTTACAATTTTATTTCTCCTATCTGTCTCCTTAGCTTGAGTTTGATATACATGTATCAAATACTCAAGACAGTAGTTCCTTGCATTTCCAAACACCTTGAGGTTTGTTATAAATACTTCACTGCATGTCATATTTTCAACCCTCTTCTTGATGTTCCGAAATGCACGGAGACATTGTTGGACGTTTTTGATTATATTAATCAATAACTTTTCTGTTGTCTGTGAATTTTTCAACCCCAAACTCTAGGTACAATACAGCTATATGTGGCAAACATGATGCTGAATTTCTTATTAAGTTTGTATTTCTTTTTTTCAAAGTTTGTGAACTAAAATGATTATTAAATTATGGCAAGGAAATAAATCTGGGTAGTAAAAACTCTGAAACTCTGTGTCACACAGTGCATTTGTAGTAAATTTATCATGTAGTACACATATTCCTAAATTCTCATTGGGTCTCCAAGTTCTTTTAATTTTTTTGACACTGTTCAATGCCAGCTACATTAAAATAATTAATTTGCTCAACCTCATTCTCAGGCTCTCTCACCAATACCACCAATAGCCACCAATAATGAAACAGTGACCACCAAATGTAATGATTATGATATTTTGTGCAGATCAGGGCTCAAAATGACAGCCGGTCAACAAACAATGTCCGGCCAGAATGGCGACTTGACTGGCCAAAAACTTCACTTACCGGTCATGTTGACTGGTCACGTCATGTTGAGATGGTCGCGTTGTTCATTCTTGAATAATCAATCAAGTCCTCAACTGTAAAGGCCTGTCCAAACGGGAAATGTTTGGTGACCAAACACCATCAAACATTGTTTGGTGGCCAAACATTTTACCATGATTTGGCCACCTTGTTCAGTGCTGTTTGTTCGTGTTTGATCGTGTTTGGTCGTGTTTGATAAAATTTGAAGACCATCAAGCATTCGATCAAACGACTTAAAACATTTCTTTTGTTCTTGTGTTTGTTGGGCGATGTTTTGTTTGTTTGGACAGCTGTATTAAACATGTTTGGCACGCACACGAGTACCACGCATGCTCAGCAGCTTGTATCCATAGTTTGATCTGTGTTTGATCAAACATGTTTTAACCATTTGGCCACTCACTTCAACATCAGCATGTTTGGTCACCAAACAATGTTTGATAATGTTTGGTCACCAAACATTTCCCATTTGGACAGGCCTTGAATCTTAGATTTTCAATCTCTTTTTTATTATGACCTCTCACATGAAAACATATACCAACAGGTATCTGTTTGAACGGCTAAAAGCCATTCGCTTACTGTTTGTCATGTATTCAAGATCGATAGGAGGGGCCATTCGAATGGCTAGGTTATCCGTTCAGAAAAATATTCAGCCATTCGAACACTGCTGTTATCGGTTGGAAAAAAAATTTCATCTGTTAGGACGGCAGACGTTTCAATTCAGAATTCAAAACTATTCAGCCTTTCAAACAGCAGAGGTTTTCCGTACGCTAAAGAGAATACAGTCAGATTCAGCTTTTCAAGACACTTTAGATTTGCCTAACTGTCCCACATTTTTGTCACAGGGCACCTCTCTTCGTTGGTGTATATTTCAAAGGTATTGCTCTACAGATGTCAAGATAATTTTGTCGTTTCTTTCACTTTCACTGCACAAAAATCAACGAACAAGACGCCAAAACAAACCTTTTTGCTCGATTGTCAGGTTGTTTCCACCTTAAGCACTATGGGACTCCGGGACATCAAACCACACATTTTGCAGTCTGCTTCGTTTCCATCAAGCCGTAAATGTAACATTTAGCAGGAACCCAGTATCTAATTTAGAACCAACTGATAAAAGTTATTGTTACAAAGCGGATGAAAATAATTATGTATCAACAAAAAAAAGCCAAAGGCCTTATCAGTATCTGAATCTGTAAAGTTATTTTGTTCGCGAATGAAATTTGAGACTCTCTCAACTTGTTGCTTAGCACGTGACCAAAATTTACCCACTAATTTCATTGGTAAAATCTACCGAATGATGGTCATTAGTTCCTCGTGAACGAAAACTCTCTCTAAGATATGACTACAACAGAGTTTAGATGTTTTATGGCTTACACTTTAGAACTTAATTGTAGTCACATCGTTAAGAAACTTCCCAACACTTGTTGTGTAACTGTAGCTGTAGTCGTAGTAACGTGATGATTTGTTGCACTTTTGTACCACATGGTTTGCACAGGTGAGAATCAAGGAAACATAAACTTCTTCTTTGGCTATATTTGTATACCAAGTTATTTCTGAAGCACAAAATTAGGATCAGCTGATGCATGTTTGGTTTCATTTACGTTTTGATGGCATAGATACTTTGTAGAACATCAAAACAACAGCTCATGGAATTCAATGTGCCGATCAAAAAATTCCATCAAATGTGCATCCATTCAATATTTTTTCTTTGGCAAGTGGCATGAATTCCATGGACATTGTGCCACTTCATTGAGCTACTGAGCCCTGCCAAGGCTATCTTTGGTTAAGTTTTAAGCTTTTCTTTGTATTAAGCCAATTTTTAAATCGTGTAGCAATGACCCGGAACAAACAAATTATAATTATTTGAGGGTTTAATTAGACTAACATTACTTAAATTTTTTTAAATATCTTGACCGGTCAGAAACGAGACGTGACCAAGCTAAAATTACTTTGGCCGCTCAACATGACTGGCTACAGTCCATGATTATTTCATGTTTTGTGTTCATGGGAAATTTTCAACGGTGAATCGCCAGACGGTGCAGTTAAGTTTTACTCTGCCATTCCAGAAAATATGACCCGTACCCACCCTGTGGAAAGAAGGTTATTGAAAATTTTGTGTGAGTGGGGGTCACAAAACCCAAAAATTTTAAGCTGAAATGGAGTGGGGGTGGATCGAACAAAAACAAATCTTTCGTGGGGACAGAAAGGATATGTTTTGGAAGCCCTATATTCTGAGGCTCACCTTAGGATTATGCAATAAGATGACAGTTTATTACCATCACTTCCCATTACATTTTGTGATTTTTTGAAGGCCGAATAGATACTATAGCTTCAGCTACATGTAAATTTTTAAATCATTTCTTGAGGCAAATGATAACATCATGTTATATTTATTTTGGACCATAACCTTACAGTACAACACTATGAAACTAAAGCATAGTAATTAATTACAATAGATTATCGTGGAATGACAAATTGTTGAAAAGCTCCTACCAGCCAGTGGGACTTTTAATGAATGTTGATATTATTTTTAATAACCTGCTGTCCAAATGCACTGTACACATCTACGAAATATTCCTTAGTGGGTTGAAATTTTTTTTTAAAGGTTCTACCACTTGTTATACAAACAGTCTTTTGTGGTGATTAATTATTTATAATTAGTCAGATTTTCATGTTTCAGTTTATCTTGTTTAAAACTTCTCAAGAAAT